GAGAAAAAAGGTCAAAGTTATTCGTTGTTATTATTTTAAGTTTGAAAGGAAAACCAACAGGATAATGAGGGGATGCGTAAACTATGCATAATATACATATATATATAGAAGAAGTTAATTAAGATAACATACTTAATAAACTACCACTAACTGAAACTGATACAGACTTTGGCCTTCACAGTTTTTTTATCGAGTAGAATGAACCTGTATTCTTCAGCATATCTTTATCACATTTGTCTTTGTTATACACTTGTGATAAATAGATTTTTTTTTTAAATCTAAGGAGACATTCTACTGTCTTAGATATCTATTGACAGTAAACTTGATTTCCCTTGAAGAAACCAAACCATTCGAATCACTGACGGTGTTTTATCGGCACTTATTATTTTTTTTTGCAATTACGGGATTCGGAAAACAGTGTACAATAGGGAGCGAGAAGGTCGGAAAATACGAGGAAGTTGGTAAGCAGGCAGCAACTTTTCGACACGATTTTTTCTTCATTTTGAAGGCCTGCTCGCTGTTCGGATGTTGTGCAAAAAGACACTGGGCCAAACAAATGAAGAGAAGTCGCGTTTCATAGCTCAAAAGCTAGACCAAATTTGTTCGATCAATATAGTGCTTAAATCTTATATTGAGCCCATGTTGATTGGAGCAGTTTAATATTGGGTTTATTTATTTGCTCTATTACATTCAGTAACTAAAATAACGGAAACTGGAAACTGAAGTATTCGCCCAGTTCAACCGAAACGTTTTTAGAGACTGTTCATACATTTCAAATAACTTTAGAGGATATTCGCTCTGCCACGAAGAATTATACTACTCTACAGAAAGTAACAAACAACATCACGTGCTTTAGTAGTTTTTATCACGTTTATATTTATTGAGCCAACCAAAAATTATATCTTGATAAATCATGGTGTTGTTTTGTCATAAACCTTACAAATAGAACTAGCAAATAGTAACATTACAGCCACTCAAATATGAGGCGATCAAAACAGTTGACAAGTCGACATATCGACCTGCAGGTCTTTTAGATGCCTTTTCTAACCGGTTTGAGATTTACACGATATAATCTGCAACTATAAACATTACAATCCAAGCTTCATAAAACATTTTCGCACAATTCAGCAATCTCAACACAATAATTAGCAATAATGACTCACATTTTATTTTAGCGACATCCGCTAACTTTGTTAGGTCCCTTGGCAGCACACATATCAGAGCTACTCCCTATTTCACAGAAAAAAAGCTCTCCTAGGGAAAAAGGTCCGTACGGTATTAGACCTTTTAAATTTCGAGGCGAAAAAAATCACGCGACTGTACGGTCTAGATCCTACAAAGATTTTTAGTGGTTCATGATTTTCGAAATAAAGATGCCGCCCGCCCCCAACTGACCAAGTTAGATTCAAGGAAGATCTAAAAAGGTGATGTATCGCGTAGAGGCCAGCAACATAGAATGGGTTTGATGAACCAGTTAAAATCAAGAATGAAAGCATCACTCGACTTTATACTCGGCAAACCATCGCAAATCCAGTTACCTCGTAACACTGTGACCAATCCGACACTGTCTGAGACCTCGAGAGAGGCCGAGATACACAGGCTGCCTACAAGGTTAGTTGGCACAGGTAGAGGGAAACATGTATAAGAAGCTTGAATTAAGAAAAAAACGCCGTTGTTCTTGATTGGTATAAATATGATGGTGCCGACCCATTCGGCACCCCACTGGAGTCAGGTAATAAAGTTACCATTATAGTCGATATTTTACCACCTTGTTTGTTCTTTCGAAGATATAGTATACATAACGTTATTTTATTCACAAAAATTACGTGATCTATACGTGTGTATATTTTTATCATGTAATTGCCCCACTGCATAGGCTAGTACTTTTAAATATGCTGGCGGTCATTGCAACAAATGTTCAGTTCCTTAATTTTTGCCCACAATTTAATTGCATGAACGAAGCATCAATGTGATTTCTTCTCGGAAGACTTGTAAGTCAATTAAGTCCACGCCATGTTTGCTGCCTATCAATAGTTAGGGGGTCGCTTGCGCAATGTCAAATTCGGATTAATGGTAACAGACAACCGTAAAACCTGAAACCCTTTAGTCTAAAACTCTTTATTCTCCCTAATTTGCTAATTTTCCCAGTGAGCGCATGTTCTTTATTCTGGTGTTAATTGTACGACACTTCCTCCTAACTTAGCGATTTTCCAGCTAAGTTGCCTGGTGCATTTATTTATTAGAATATATTACAACCAATTTACTCGCGCATTTTCATTATGCTGCGTATTCACTGAATATGTTCGTCACGTCCTTCTAGGTCCCACGTTTTTCTGACCCTATTTAGCAAAATTTTATCAGGCTTATAACCTTCCCACAAAGAAGCTTTAGCAGAAAGTGGTCAAATCCAGTAAGGCCTGTTGCTCATATATAACTAAGTCTTTACTTTGTAACTAGCGAGACCTATGACAAGTTTATGTCGGAAAACAGCAGGACAAAAGATGCCCGTATAGACCACAAAGTTCATTATGGTCTCAAAAGGAGAACATTAGACAGGCCATGAAGAAAGATAAAAAGAGAGACTATTAAGCCGAATGTTAACGGGCGGGTAGATGATTCAAATAAATGATCTAGTGCTAATAGCGGCATTATGCGTCGTTGCCTGCCTAATAATATTAGAAAAATAGCTTTAATTAACGGAATGGTGATGAATTTGTGCTACTCCTGCCCAAACAGAAACAAAATGCTGTCGGCGTTTACGTCATCATTTTGGTAGCAAATTTTCTGCATCATTTGTTAGGAAATCTATAAACGAATACACGTATATAGAGGAACTTTGGATCGTTGGAAAGGTCTTCCTTAAAACATGATACAAAATCAATAGGCTATCGGTCAAGCCGTTGCACTTCGTTAAAGCGTTCGGATCTGAGCACATCAGGGGGGTTATTTACACAGCTCTTAATTATTAAGTAGTTGTACCGTTTCCGTTTAGACGTCCTCACTGGTTGCTTGCTTTAACCTAAAGACACCGATGGAAACTAGTACATACTCATCAATAAATGTGTGATGCTTATATTAAACTTGGTTTGCATTGAGGAGTAGGTATGTAACGCGGTACGTGCACATAAACGCATTTGCCCAAAACCTCTCATATTTTTATACGTACTTATTTCTGTCATCCTGCTGTTTCAACCTAAAAACTTCGAAGCCTAAGAAAGATCTGATTAGCCTGTATAAGATGATTTCATGATCTTGCTAGGATGATATCTATCATAAATTCCTATTTTTGATGTATTTACGGTTTGAGATAAACTTAGCTATGCCTGGGTAGTTTGTCCGCCGATCGTTGGGAGTTTCAGAATAATCCACATTGTTCATGTTTTCAGCTCTACAAGATTAGTACATACTCGCATTTCTATTTTGTAAAATTTTGTTTTTCTTTTTCGGGAAATCGGTAAGGGTTAGAATGTAAAGATTGCAGTTTGGAGGACATCTAGCAATCAAGTCAAAGTCGACGAAGGTTCAGTCCTACGAGCGGTACTATTCGTTAGTAGATACGGAACGATACGGAACAAGAGGATCTCATTTTTTGCTGAAATATAAACATACATAAAGAGGTTCGCCTTACTTAAAAGCTCTGCAAATATAAAGTCGACATATTTCTGCTGGGAATAGAAGGCAAGTTCCTGTTGAGGCTATTGTGATATATTTACTCATATTTTATACATACAGTCTATACTATAGGGTCTGACGAGCTAAACGCAATATAAACCCGATTTTTAGATATTTATTTATGATACGAAGTAAGTGTGCGGCGTAAAAATACAGCCGTTGCAACGAACACTGAATGAATAAGTACCGGAATCAAATGGCTGTTTTACGCTTGATCAAATAACCGTCTGTTATTCTATTCACTATTGCTCGCTACTTTAAGTGGCCCGAAGACCCTAAGCAGCAGCAAGTTGCAAGTTTAATCACTTGAAAATTCTACTGAGTCACGTCATACTCGTACTTCCAGTAAATTTCTAAGATAAAGACCATCTTTTCAGACTGGAAATCAAGCCAAACCGCAAAAATAGTCAAAAACGTTTAAACCATTTTTGAGATTTTCCGACAACTATAATACATGCGCAAAAAAGACCGCTCCTTTTCTTATATCGCCCCTTTTTTGTTGTTTGCAAAATGTTATAGGCCATCCGGGGCCTGCGCTATCACTAATACTATACTCAGTATTTAAATATAATAATTGTAAGTTCTAAAACGATTTAATGAAGTTTGTTGTTTGTTGATTCGAAAGCGCTTTTCTACAAGTCTGTTAGGATCGTTTTGTCCGGTAGTGAAACTTCACATCGGGCTCGCACTCTCAAATCAAAATACTGTTGTCCAAAAGGTATTCATCTTATAGCACCCATTGGATAGAATCGAATGTTCAGGTAGGACAAATATGCATATGCATGCAGGCAAATTCGATTGGACGAAAGGCCAAGCATGGAAAAAGCCGGTTGTCTCTTCATTTTCTATACTTACTTACGGTTTTAGCTACTTGATTTCATGTCGGATATATTAGACCTCGTCTAACCATTAACTACAAAAAAGTAATATCTTGTTCTATTGTAAATTCGACGAAATTGTTAACTATTACGTGTACAGATGCTTATATCTCACGTCTATTATTTCGATAGTATTATCATTATTGTAAACGAATCGGCCAAAATTCATGCGTCCTATACCGCAACTTTAGGTCTTCATATGCATTAAATAATAACACTATTTTAGCAAAAAAATTCGGTCTACAGGAGCTTCGTGATTTCAAGGTTGGCCTGCTGTTGATTGTGTAATGTCTTTATCTAAGCAAACGCTAGACTTTAAAGGATTTGGTTCTTTGCATTTACAGCTTAGATCTTGATCATGTCAAATTAGCCTTAATCAGCTTACTTGAGCAAAAATGAAAATTAATGAAAACATCCATATCGTCTGCGCGTGGGCGTGCATTTATTTTCAGCTGGGAAAATACGGTTCGTATGTACGTTCACCTTTATTACGATCTACGGATAAATAAACACTATGTATGCTATGCAGCCATATAGCAGTAGTCCCAATGAGAATGTGCGCTACCGTTACAAGCCTAAAATTTAATATATGCTTTGACGTATGAGAGATAACGTACTATTTAAGTGGACATATGTCGATTTTCACAGATTTAATATCTTCAAAGCCGCCCATGTCAGATGAATCTGTCCATGCATCTAATGGTTCGTCTGAACAAGAAAATGGGATTCTTTCGTTCTCTTGTCGCTCAGGATGCAGTGAAGAATGATACCTCTCTGAGAACCGTGTCTTCTATTCGGATCGTTTACTTCCACGTCAGTTTTCGGCTTATTCTTTCCTACTCTTCGTCTTTGAGGAATTTCGTCTTTGAGAACGTAATGAACTTGATGATCCTTGTGAGCTCTTTTTGCCCTCTTGTTCCGCGGCATAGGTTTCAATAAGCTTAGCAAACTAACTAGTAGACGGCTGGTTATATATGAGCGGTAGCTCTTATTGGATTTGACTTTCTTCTGCTCGAGATTTCCTATGCAAGACTTGTAAACCCAAGGAGAATTTTGTTAATAAGCTAGCAAGTGCTATTTGTTTCCAGGCGCTGACCATAAGTGAGTCAATCACGTTTTTTAAGTTTTAGTAAGTACGCGCGATAACGTTAGCTGAGAAATGCCTCGTTTGGAAAGGACATGTTGTGTCTTTTAGGAGAAAGACACGTGCCTATTAGGACGAAGAGAAAATGCAGATTAAAAGACCTTAAGTTGCCTTCTACTACTAGCTTGAACGTTGCATCATGTGAGCCTCTTCTGGGATTATTAATAAACTGCCGAAGCTCTATAAATGTTCATACGATATGACACTTTTTAAAGTATTTAGTTTTGTTGAAAGTTCCGCTGATGCGGGTCCATTTGGTTCTCCCGATCTTCATCTCGAAGCGCCTTACAGTTTCCAAAATTCAATTATGTGAGGCTGAATTATTGGGAGTACGGCCTTTTCACTCCGTGTTTCTATAGTCCTAACTGATGGGGCGATCTTTCCGAGAACTATCAAACTCTTTCAAAGCCAAGGCAGCATTAATACCTTACCACCAAATGCTTTATCAAAGCGGCTGAATCAGATTCAGCTGATGCCAGGAGTTCCGTCCGTTGGGCAGCCTAAATTAAAAAGATATTCCAGTGTAAGTGGCTCCTATAGAGCGTATGCGCTTAAATCTGAAACTTAACTTTCCTTTACTACTAAAGTAGTTTACATTTGCTTCTTGTTTTATGCCTTATCCAGGGAAGTGACATGATTCACTAGGGTTGCCGTGTAACTTTAACAAGTAACCAAAACCTATGAGTGGTTTCCGTGTCGCTTAGTAACCACTATCTAGTTGTTTCTTATGTGAAACAATAATCAATTTCTCTCGAATTTATTATCTGAAAATTCGACAGAATCCCTCTATGTATCGCGTTTACTCTAATAAATTACGTGATAAGAGCGTTTGAACGTCAAATGCTTTTCAATCAGCTATACTTAGAGATGCTCTGATTTTGAATTGGCAGCAATGTATAATTCATTTTCGAAACAAATAACATTCCGAAGCTTCACTTCAAATCACCGTAATATTTTAACTATTTTCCTGAGCTTCACTTACTTGCTTATTAATACGGCTACGTTTGCCCGGTCTCCTACTCAATTTCGTTATCAACGTAAGGTTGAAGTGCTGCCGATTGCTTTAGCTAGAGCGTCTAAACTCCTATCACACATTACCCTTGTGTGAGCTAATTGGGCTCGTTAGAATTGAGTGAGTGAGTGAGGATCTTGGATGAAAGGAGAAACAATTAGTCTTTTTCAGACTAGAGAAACTGGTATATTGAAAAGGGTCGGGTAAAGTATTTTAAATAAATGATAGTTGAGACTCAGAGCCGGGCTTTACCCATTGTCCAATTATACATATTGAGAAATTTCAAAAACGCTATTTATTTTATACTTAATATGCATAGGGCTGACGTTCCTCGAATTTGTAGGATTTTTATTTTAGTGCTGTAAGACGAATTTGAATATCTAGATCTGAGCGATACCTGGATGATATACAACAACCTGGTGTAGTGGCATAATAGCGATTCTCTTTGGCGGAAAGTCTTCATCGATAATGTCTATAATCAGCGGAGTAAAGTAATAAATATGAGCGAAGTATTCCGATCATCGCATTCCTCCCACACTTTCCTCCTCTTTGTACAACCGGACAGCCAAGGACCAAGATGAGGAGAAAATTATAGTGTGTGGGTGGCTTATTGGAAGGTTGTTTTGAGGTTGGGGCTACGACTTATTTCATTCAACAGTCTCTGACGATGATGGGATCTAAAGGAATGCGAAATTAAAAATGCCCGTCATAGAAGATTTATCCTCATCTGACTGCTGATTTTTGGTGCAAATCGTTAATTTCTATGACAAAAACCTGCAAAAAGTCCTGTTAATTTCTTTGAAAATTACTGATATTGTAATACAACTGAAAAAATCACGAACCTTTCATGGTTTATATGCGTTATTGAGTTTAAAAGTAAATATGGCTATTCGCTCAGATTTCAGTTTATTTATTTTTCATCTGTTGCCGGAATAGGGCTTGCAAACCACAATACGCGACGGGCGTAATGAACGTAAAACAATCATACTATTCGACACGCGTTTACTGCTCACCGATTTTTATGCCCTTTTGTATTGTGCAAATAGCAGAATGAGCTAAGAACCTCAACATTTACCGATCTCATATACCGTTTTGATATTCCATATTAATCAAGACACGTTTCACCTAAAGGAGCTGCTGTGTGGGAGTGTTCTCCTCTGAAAAAGCCTACAATTCCTACTTGCCCATATTTGACTAAAGTTCCCTGAAGCAGAAGACGAAAACGGATGTTTGAGGATAGGAATGCAGAGGGGTCACGGAAAATCCCCAACGGGTTTTTCCAAAAGTCCGTCGCAGGTGCCTATCGCTCTTAATGGGCGCGACTGAGGAAAGGGAACCAGCGAACTATAGGGCTTATCTCTTGCTGTGCCTTTGAAAAGCCTATTACGTCTCCGAACTTCGCCGCTCGCCACCAATGCAGCTGCATTCTTCCTCTTTCTTTACTATGGCCGAAGCTGCCCCACCGACCCTTTCCACTGGGTTGAGAACTCACCGCTAGGGTATTAGGGTATTGTGCCATATATTCAGATGATGGAAGTTAACTCACGATAGGTGCAGGCCTATTTCCCAGCAAACGAACACTGCACACACAAAATTCAGTCGTTACTTCCGTGTATACAATTCACAGCAAAACGTAGACAGTTTTACCTCAACCACCCGTTCATAGAGTAGCTCGTGAACGGTAAGGCAAGCGGGAGAAGAGCCGGCTAAACAGAATAACTGAATTATTCTAAAATTTTGAACATGGCATTATTCAAAACGTTACAGCATCAATGAGACAAAAATTCAAAACGTTACTGACGTGCAGAGCTTGAGGTCTAATCTGTTGTTTATGTTCTATCAAAATTTTTTTCTATGAACCTACTTGATATTTACCATTGACACTCACGCTACCAACCGTGGATGCAACGTTGTGTGCTCATGATGATAACGTATTTCGAGACAGACAGAAGAAACTCGAGGATAATGGGAAGATAAGCACGACGGATTAGATACTTATTCTGCCTCGACATTGTCACTATCAGTAAGTATCGCTTGCTTAAATTTAAAACACACGTTATTGGTAACCGTCCTTAATTTTATATGAAGCACAGATTTTACTGATTGAGATGAGAGCTGTGAATCCATCCACGTAATTTCAGGCAGATAGCATAGTCTTATGACGATGTTCTCAGATATAGCAGCAATCAGGATTCGAAATCAATACGAAAGATACAATCGGACGTGCAGTATTCAGGCAACGCACACAACAATAATATATAATACTTTATAATAAAATAAACATTTTGAGTCGCGATTTGATTCGGCACGAAACGAGGCAGCTATCATTTATTTAACAACGGTTAGCGGTCAGGCCGAAGGCACCACATGGTGTCTTGGGGACTGTTGCATAACCTATCCGTCACGATATCGATGCGACTGACCGTTCCATTCTGATAGCCACTACATCAAATCATGCGGGCGGGGGCATCGTCGCAGATGTCTAGTTCTTTTTGTGCCGATCGGGCAAAATATCTGTGAAAGCTGTGTTTACTTTGCTACATATTTCGACTATACATGATTCGGTTTTCTAAAATTGTGTATGCCTGCCAGGACTACTCATTGGTACCAAAGTCGTCGCCTGATGTAGGTTTGCCTGATGATTTCGATTTGTGGCTGCATTAAATAGGACGCTGACTGCGTAACTGGGAAGCTGTGATACATACACTGTGTCACCTACTTCCAGCATCGTCCTAGATTCAATCCATTTATGATTAACTTTCCATTTTCAAACGGCTGATTTGTGTTTCGATCAAGCCTCACAGATAATATCTCTACAATTATTAATATAACAATTATAATTGGTCAATAATTGGTCCTGCTACCATTCGTGATCAGTATTTTGTTATCCATTATTATTGTTATTATTATCAACAAACAAGCAATCCAGTGAGTTACTTATTGCTAGTCTTTTTTAAATGTTTTATAGAAAAAAACTTCCAGTGAGAAACTAATCTTTTGTACAGATGTTATCAACAAGTCCGTGTGGCAACGGGGTCAATGTATGTCTAATACATAAATCTATTCCTCTTTAATTACTAAAAATATATTTTATTTTATAAGTCTCTGCTGTGATCACAGAAACTTCTCGATGGGGTTTTCCAGTCGGGTCTTTTGCTGTTAGTGGTTGCACAAGTTGTTTTGGCAAACGCCCCAAATATCCACACTTTAATTGTTCCCATCTATCTTAGACTCAATTAATAGAAGACACAGTCTTTGCTATTCTTCTCCATCTCTAATGTGTTTACGTCACATGCTTCGAGGAAAACAGTATGAAGTTGGTACGGAGCGCACTGCTCACGTCCTATTTTTTTTTCAAAGGACTCCGTGATTACTGCAATTCGTGCTTTTGTTAGAGGCTCTAAAATATAGATACTTCCTTTGTGGTGTGTCAACCAATTTTCGTGCTTAGAACAATTTTTGTTGCTGAGCTCAAAGCTCCATTATTTTCTGATGACAGTTAATCTAGTGCTAGGTGTGCTAGGTCGTTACGAACGAACCCGACGGACTTTGAAATTGAATACCTTTTTAACTAGTTGGGCATATTCCTTCATTTTTTAGGCGCTTACGCCAGCGCTCTGGCAGTTTCTGAACAGCCATACACCTACCATTCATATTTACATATGTCATTTGTCTATCCACGGCTTCTCGAACTAAATCAATAGTCTGGTAGGGTTGCTCACCAGGTGTTCTTTTTAGGGCATAGAAAATGCCCTAATTGAACAAACTCGGATCGGGAAAATGAGTAGGCTCAAAAAAACTCAATGTTGGATATGATCCCGCTCAATCCATAAACTAATTGAAGGATAACGAAGGGATCTGGAATTGTCATCAAGTAAACAGACTGCGAAGTTTTTATTGCTGCGTTAACGCTCCGTAAGTTTCTCGACGAGCTCGAAATAGCGAGCTGCATTCATTGTTCTATTTTCGACAAGCGTCTCGTAGCAGCGTGATATTCATTGCACGTACCTCTATAGCCTTACATCGGAACCTAATCGACACTGCCACCAAAATCGATCCCACACACCATTCGTTCGCCTGGCCCCTTTCCGGCTCGTGGTGGAGACTGAATCATGCCTCGTCTATGGTGATCGTATGTGTCCGCGCGGGTCTTTTGAGTCAGTTCTCGGAATAAGTAATTTTTTTTACTTGGTTTTATTTTCAATATTTCGATTATAAATCTGTAACATATTAGATGTGACAAGCTAGTTTTGACCGACAGGACTTTTAGACTCCACCCCCTGCTTTCAGAAATTGAAACGACAATGCGTTCTTGTGCTCCGAGTAATCGACTCCTAGTTACCTTCTCGCTGATATCCAGCACTCCAGTCTTCGTACGTTCTCGCCATTCACACACTGTGTTTTTACATAGGACTCCTTGCTTCATATCTTCACCAGTCTTTCTGAATTGGTTCTGAAGTGATCGTTCTGAGGAATTTCTGAAAACGGTGGTCTTCGAGCAGCAAAAACATGACCACCTGAGCCTAGATTTTTAGGACTCAAAGATGTTTTTCCGTCTAGATTAGTTTTTTTTTTAAGGTTTCTGCAGGACTGAGGTATTATGTACCAGACAAGTTCCCTTTGCTAGCAAATGTATGAGTCAAAAGTTATTCAGTTTCACAGATCCGCTTAATAACTATCTACTATATATATATATATATATATATATATATATATATATATATATCTACTAACTTGTGCGTAGTCTGAAAGTTGTTCGAGACGTTTAATAACCTTAGAGAACTTAATGTTATAGCGTGGTAAGCAAAGCAATTATATCTGAACATGCACGTTTGTCTGATGCAGCATCAATGTACTTGTTATATTGAAAACATTGATTGAAAGTAATGACAGCTTCTTTTTTTTTTTTTTTTTTTTTACCTAATACGAACGTTTTCCACTATATTCTGCTGAAAGTAAACTTATCTATTATGTCAAATTGTAATATTATATTCAAATTATATCGTTTAATTTAAAAAATGTTTTTGTCAAAAGAAACGTCTTAAAGATTGGGTGCCAGAATTATGGTGTGCTAACAATTACATACTCATATCAAATTAGACCCAAAATATATTTATAATTACTTCCCACAATTTGATTTGTCAAATATTGTTGCTAGATGGACTATATATGCAGTGACTGTTTTATTCGCGACTTAAATGTAAAGGTTATCTACATTTTTGGAATATGACTGTCAGCCGGCCATCGGGTAACGATTACTGGCAGCTCTAAGAGGGGCTGAAAGTCGTTACTCTCATATCCCCGATTGAAAACATGGCTCAGTAGACGAACCCCTCCATCTTGGTGTGATATCAACCAAAGCAGCTAACATGAGAACAATATAACCGTAAACAGTAGTAACATAACGAGTTTAAAAAATCGTTCTTAAGAATACCAGTTTTGTCATCAGTCTCGAAAGTCGCCTGCCGTCAACACGAGAGATTTCCTTTGTAGTGGTTTCAGCGCGCGCTGGCAAGTAAGTTCACTTTACTCTCGAAAGCACTTGTCCATATAAATGGACAAACAGGACAATTGAACTTAATCACCAAATCAGTCTAGGGATAACTGCTAGGGATAACAGATCTCCTCCTGACTAAATACAACTGAAATCTATTAAAAATATAAAAACTCAAGTTGAACTCGGATTTTTGAACTGCCAAAATGGCGACGGACAAACACTGTCAGGTTTTGAAATAAAACATAAAAGCTCAATCAACTTTGAGTCGTCCCCACTGCTTGGCTCGCCGAGGGACAGCTCTGCATATAATAAGTTCATATTTACAGTACATATAGTGCGTAGAGCTTTGAAGCAACGCTAAAATAGTACCAGTCAATTCGAACTGGGAAAATATGATATTTTTTCATAATTAGTCACATACGCTATGAGACGCATGTTTGCGCATAGGGGCCAGACACATTAAAAGAAAACGCCTAAATGGCAAGGGGTCGATGAAATCGACTTGGAAGTAGCTACTGTTTGGGGTGCAGTTGGCACAGCTTCCACAATCAAATCCGCTTCAAACCGGCCCTCCAGAAAATCTAAAACAGGTCCGAACAGATACACAGGACAAAAATGCTTTAAACGTTCTTTTCTCGCTTCGAACAGTGACGAGTCTCCACTAGAAAGGCCTTCCAGCTTTCCGTAGGGCAAGACGCGAATTAAAACTAGTCTATATTATACAATCACAGATGCGTGGTAGATTGCCAAGCCGTATACAGGCACATTCAGATCAGAAGAAGGAAGGCCAGCTCTGACAGGAACAATTTTAACATACGTATTGCTATATATAAAATCAATGTTAAAAATAATTGTCTGCTTCTCACGGTGTTTTCGAGGAAGCGCTAATTCAATTTATATCTTAACGCAATTGGCCAAACGACTGTTACAGCAGAGTCTACAGAGAGATTTTCGAGTTGTGCACTTTTGTTGCACTATGTGATAGAAGTTAATGCAGATCGTACAGCCGATAACAACAAAGCCACTACGAACCCCAACTATCGTAAGGTTACCAAATACCTACTTGCTTCAAAAGTTTTTGGAGGTTTAGAAAATCAATGCATAGTTAATACCACTACGCCAGAAACCCATTGCACGGTCCTTCTAGCAACACGCATATTGTATTTGCAGGCTAAGCAAACCCTTTCCTTTCTGAAATTCTGAGAAATTTCCTTTATGAAAGTTAGTAATACCGTAAAGGTCAACGTTGATTAGTGTGTGAGTAAAATAGCTTATTTTGATTGACTAGATAATTACAATAAGAGAACTTCGAAGACTTACATTGCTACATGTTTTACAGGGCGTATTGTGACTTCCAATAGCCAACCGATATGGTACACTGATATACTACTATCGTAAGTTTGTTTTGAAGTTACAGGTGGTGATCCTGCAAATCGTAAACGCACAAAATTCGAGCATACGGCCGACAGAACAGGGCATCTATTAGAAACTCTCACGCACACACAGATGTACAGTTGCGATAATCGAACTGTTTTACCAAGCGGATTTCGTACTCTATAGGCGTTCCAATAAACAGATATACAGGCGGCCAAATAGCCGTGCGACTGACGCTTGTTTGTGTTTACATTATCTCGGTCTTCGCTCGCTCGGCTACCTTGCCCCTGACCCCTACGGACGTAGTTCATACCTGGCACCATGTTGTATCCCGATGGATAAGCAATGAGGTCCCTTTAAGTCGCTGGACTCATCTCGACTAGTTCGCTTGCCATTGATGCGGCCATTTAATCGGCCAGCTAGCATTGTCGGAATCCGCGAACGGCTTCTCTATAATTCGCTGCCGGTCTAGCCGTCGTCGGGCGACCGTGGACCCTCCTCTCTGCTCCTCTCTACGGGCGATTCTATCCCACATCGACGAAAAGATTGTTAGAGGCTGACATACAGACCTTGAGTAAAACCCGTAATCATGTGGAACCAAGGCTCAGACTCAACGAGACATTTGACTCAACAGCACTTATTGCTGCATGGATCGGATTCGAATCCTGTGGGCATTGCACGCTCCCATTCAGATTTAGTGCATCTCGTGAAATCTGAAGACGATAAGATGGCCGTGGTGCACGATACCTCGGCCACTGTGGCCCAGTGCGTGCTCATTACAATAACTGGGTGAGTTTATCATTAATGCTACTACTTAGCATTGGCATGAATATATACCTATGCAGGGCTATCAATAGGTTTCGTGCAACGTTACTGTTAGATGATAGACCAGATTGAAAGACCCATTTCTAAGTGAACGGATTTTAAACTAGAATCAGTTATCACTTTCTCGGATATACGCAATATTGGGATTGTGTCATACAGCTTCTAGGGAGATTCTTCAAATAGAATGAGCTTCAGATCGCAGCGACGGGTTACTTCTGTTTGTTCGACCATAGTGTTTTCCTTCTCATAGCATAATTCTGATGCGATTACCAAAATATGTTATTAGTTATTTTTTCATAGCTAACCAACTGCACAGAAGTTCGTCGTGAAAGATGTTGCTTGTCAAAAAATTTCTAGATTAAAAAAAGTCCTTGGAAAACTCCGAAAGCGGCGTTACAACAGGCCTCAAGTAAAATGGATGCCTCGTTAAGGATCGAGGGCTCGCCAGTTGTCACCTGTAACTGAAGTAGCAATGGCGAGTGACACCTTCCTGTTGAGGGAAGCGTATTGGTCAAACTTCAATCATACATTTATAGCTGCAGGAAAGCCGCCTCATCGTATGCCTTAAGCTTGTTTTTCGCACGAAGCATTAGGAGCTTCGAAAGGATGCAGAGCACTGGCGTAGAACCCCGATCGTGAAACAGCTCACTTTGTGTAGATATTCGCTGAACTACTCAGATTTCTGATATAGGTCAATAATGCAATGGCGGCTTCTATCAGTGCTGGCGTCTATGGGGCAAAGCTACCATTCGCACCATATCTGAACATAAAGAAAGAGAAAAATCTGACCCCATACATAGCAGGACGTAACCAGATGTTCTCGATCAGCACATATCTATTGTATTGAGCAAACTAAAGCGATAGATCATTATTTAGGGAGGATGCAGCAGTACAATATCTTAGTGATATGTTAGTAACTCTTAGTTCTAGTATTATTATCAGTTATTATAGTTCGTATTTTCGTTATACCTAAATGAATATTGAACATACGCATTTAGATGTATAGGGGGTTCCAGTTTGTACGCCGTTTCACATCAAGGAACTTAATTTCAAAGTTTGCGTAAAAAGTATTTCTACTCAAACCTCTACATCTTTTTGCCTATTCGTTCAATGTCCATTTGTATCTAACCTGCGTAGTGAACCATTGTCGCGTCCTGCACTTGTAGCACCGGCTTCATATGCTACATACGCTTGTTTACACTTGGAAACTCATACAATATTTAAGATTCAGGTTGAAAAAAATACTATATATAAAATAGGTCTCCAACATAAATGCGAAAAAAGCTCGTTAAGATCTAAACTATTGAAATTGTAATCACTCGATATCTAATGAAGGCTTTGAAAGGGAAGCTAATGTTGGCCTATCCGTGACCGCCGATTGATATTGTCGCGAAAAGAGTAGTTGCAAATAGCGGAACTAAACAAAGATAGGACAAATCGAAAAATACGAAAAGTTCTAGTAGTCGGCTTGATTGGTCCCTTTACAATGGTGGTCAGTTATTGCTTGTTGTATGATAACGCACCGTTCATCTCCACTGATTACTATTCACAGTTCCAGCATTTCATTATATGTCGCAACGTGTGCATCGTCTGACATTGTGTTTCTATTTGCAAAGTCGGGGGGGGGGGGGCTTTGATACGTATAGCTAAACGATTTTTCGTTACGATAGTTTTAGATATATACAGCTTTACTGGTGAGTGTTTTTTTTTGCTTAATTTCGAAAATTTCTAAATATAGTGCTAACAGAACAGGAGTAAGTGGGCAATTGTATATTCGTTTCGCAGTTATGTGAGTTCGAAGCTGCATCTACTCAACGAAGAGCAGCTTCAGGGCGTAGAGAAGTTCACCTCCAGTTTAGCGTTACCGGCCCTCATGTTCACTAACATGGCCTCCATCGATCTCCAAAAGGCACATGCCAACATGATTTTTGGTACGTGGTCATCGATAGAGGACATTAAATAAGTTGCGTAACAGTAGTAGTTTTAGTACAGTTCCTTTGCGGCAGCATTCAAGGTAGAAGTATTAGATCACAGTGAACAACGCCTTGAAAAAATGTTATCCTATCATATAACAATTTTTTTTACGTTTAATTTAAAGCTCTTATTATTAATTTGTTATTTAATTTATATAGGTCAATGTAAGACATTGGCTACTAATCGTATCATAAACTTTACGGCCCATCGCGTGGACTGAGTGCGGTTATTCATCTATCTAAATAAACCAATTTACAACATATTGAGCTAGGGGTATCTCGGGGTGTCTCGAGCAGAACGCCCTATCGGCATACATCCGCAAGATTCTTGAACTCGACGTACAACATTGACAGTATACAGTCGTCAATTAAACCCGATTCAGTCCTTTTCACAATTTCGAAAGGTGGATGTTTGTATAATAGACTAAACTATCTTACTCTGTAATGTACTTCTTCTGCTTAGTAGACTTTGAAATAATCTTCATTTATTTTTGTCGGGCCTTGTATATTGCATAACACTAAACATAATATTACGTTATATAGATAAAACATATAAGCTCAGATTGCTGTCACTACGTTGTTCTTTTCTGCCTCGCACTGTTCAAAGAGGGCACTCTTAGATATGAGCCTAAGTTGTATCTCTCACACGAGCTGCCGCAGCGGACACGGGCGCGGCTTTTATTAGGCCATGGTACAATTAACATACAATATGGCGGAAGCCATGTATTGCGTAGCGGACTCCTGCAATTCATTTTGTCCAATCTGACCCTTGTTATATCCTGTTCAACCTAACGCCAGCGACAAAGAACTCCAGGCTAGTTCGAGACCTCGGCTATTCGTTTCCTCCTATGTCGGATGAATTCCGGATAGGCAGACGTTTTTTTTTGTAGACTAATCTAACGTTAGAAACCCTTCAGAAATAGCGGCGTATCTGCTAGCAAATACACGCAGCGGCTATAGTAAGATTTGCGGAGTCTTAGTACTTCCTCTGGAAAAGCCGATTTTACCCAGCACTTGTGCTTTCAATTGTACTGAGATTTTCCCAGATGGGCTGAATGCCTTAAGAGGCCATTGGCGCGAACCTGACCTTTCAAAAGCGTATCGCCGTGTTCAGTAAGAGGAATGAGAATTCTTCTACCGCCGCGCTGGCTACCACGGTTTTTCTAACGTATGTTGTTACATGTTTAGTGTAGAAGATGTCGGGCCAGGGCAGAGTTCGGCTTGGATGGCTGCATGTTCTTCAGGGGGGCAAACGGTACAACCGGCGAGTGTCATTTGCTCTTAGTAATTATACTTTTCGTAACTCTAACTTTGGTCTTGTCCAAGTTGATTTCTAGGTTAATGTTGAACTATTGACCCCCACAGCGGCTTACAGCGTAAATTCCAACATCATTAAAGTGTCCTGACAGACCTGCGCATACCAATTATGCTGCTTGCAAGATCGTTCAGGAGGACCGAAAAAAATTTAAGGAACTAAGGCTGATGCTCTGAGCCGCTCATGTTACCTTTGGGAAAAGTCCAGCATGCCTCAGCGAGCTTGGACGAAATCCAATCTCCCAGTATTCCCTTCAATACCATTTTACGTCAGACATGATGCCTCTTGTGCTTACAGGGTTTTATCTTGGCCCGCAAAATTGGGCATACAGTATACATTGACTTTTCCTACAAAAACAGGGATCCAGCTTCCAGCAACGGACGGTGCAAAGTGCACGGCTAAAAATATTTTTAGGTGACAGCTCTTCAAGGTTTCCGCTCCACGAATTCGAGTCCTGACTAATACGTTCGCTGTTTTGGATAGTGGCAAGCAGCACTTCGTAGGTCGGCATTGTATTGAAGATTTTTAGCACGTTTGTATGAGGCTAAGACTACTGCTTTTGTGAAGTCTTGATCTAACTGGGACCGGTCGTCTTGTCCAGTTTGGACTGCTGGGTCTCTGCTACTACTATACCAACCTTAGAGCCAACGGGTGCCGCAGTCTTCATACAGTTTGTCGGTTCGTCGTATACCGCACCACACCACAGTGACTCTGGCGTTCCCGGCAGCTCACACTTGCTGATGTTACTGGAAGCTCTGCCGGGCAAAAGCAATGAGGATATTTGATCTGATGGGGCCGGAAGGGCACTCAGACCGTCGTAGCCATCTATAAAGATGTTGCCCCACGTCGGCAAAGGACAGCAGCGTTTTTTTGTATTAGTGCACTGTGTGCATCTGCGTGAAATGATGAAAAAGGGATCCATCCCTGGGCAGATTACGCTAGCTGGCATTTGAGCTTGGTAAGTACTTTAGCATGTACCGTTGAACCGTGGTCCGTTGAGGTGAGGTTTGACGTCACGAACTGCCTCTCGTAGGTTATCTCGAAAATCGGTGTTGTACTCGTTGACGCCAGGAGGCTCTGAAGTTGGGAAGTGTTCACTGAAATGTTCTTGAAGCTTTTCTCGTTAGAGACCCTACCAAAGCGGTTTGTGTCGGGATTGCTATGCAAGTTCTTGGTAGGAAGCGAATTTGAATCTAGGAATTAAAAGAAAAGTACGAACCAGTGTGGTTAAGACCCTCAAAAATCACTTTACGTGCCTTCGTAATTTACAAGCCGTGTGACAACGAGGAATCCTGTTATGCAATCGCTGCCCCATCGCTGAGGCTATGCTTTGAAAGAGACATGTATCTACCTGGTGGGCGCGATAACTGAAAATGTTTAATCTTCAAAATTATTAAAATTGCTTCAGTCCTTCAACCATGAATGATATGTCGTTTGGTTCAGATTCATCCCTTGGTCCGTGTCATTTTTTTGCCCTACTTCCATTTGCTCTTCCGTTCGCCTTCTGCTCTGAACGGAGCTCGTACTCTAGATAAACACAATCATATCGTGTCGAATTAATTAGCTTCTTTTACCCTACAGTCCTCTCAAAAGCTCTTAATTTATTCTATTATATAGCATGCGACAAAGAGTTAGGAAAAAAACTGCTGAACACGAACTTGTTTTCACTTGTATGCATAATGTACACAAAACGATGACTTACTTATTCTGGGTATTTTAAGCCACACATATTGGCGCTCAATCTGATAGGAATTCTTAATTATGTGTACTCTTCTAATGTGCTGTCAATAGATCTAAAGGTAAATTAGACGTTTATTTATATCATTTTGCTCGTAGTACTTTTCATAGTACTATGGTAGACGTAATGGACAAATGTTTGGGTTGTTGTGTGCCATTCAGCTGGACTGTGCTTAAACATTAAACTTCACGTAGGAAAAGCGTCTTAAAAATGCCTTCTACCTAGATCATTGCTTTACGCTAAATTGTCAAGGGGACCTTTGCAGGACTAAAGAAAGGTTGTATGAGTTTTGGAGTAGTTGCTGTAGGATGTACATATAAATTCACGCAAATCCTGTATTAATAAGATATCTTTGTGGCATTCAATTGGGTCGAAATGTCACGTTTGAGAGGTAATTTTGCTTCTGCTACTTTGTTAGACAAACGAAAGGCGTTGTAGTGCCGGAAATTGAGTATACTGTAAAGCCGTGTTCCTTTTAAATTCGTTTCTTCTGAAATAAACCCAGGCAGCTTCCACTCACAGGTTTCTAGAAGACTGGAGTATCGACCCGCCAAGTTTCGTGTTTCGCGGCGTTTTTTAATTCCGTGGAATTCGGTTGCAATAATTAAATAATATTTACTCAATTTTCTTTGCTAACTGTGTGTAATTTTTGGTCTGCTTAGAGAACCTAATATTCTAATAGAGTAGCCTCGAAGCGCTTCGTAGGATATTCTGAGAAGGGGAGACAGAGAGAGAGAGAGAGAGAGAGAGAGCGAGAGAGAGGGGGGGATTTCATTACATCGTTGTCTAACGCGATGTCAGTATACTTTTACATTGAAAAAAATACAAATAACATCAGTTTTACTGTATAAAATTGTAGCATTTCCCACTTGCTCTAATTCGGCTTGTATTATTTAACCGTTAGATGTAATTCCTCTGAAGGTAAATTTGTCCTATTGGATAATTTGCGCAAAACAACTGACAGTATTATATTTAAGTAGTATCATTCGGTTTAAAAATTACAAATAATTTACAAAAAAAGATAATAGTTAGATCTCGACCTTCAATTTTGAAGATCGTGTGCCAAAATGATGGTGTATGATGGGGTAATAATTGTGGTTGACCTCAATATATTGATAGATCTATACATCATAAGATCAAGCGGACTTAAAATTATATTCCGGAGAAATCTTCCTTGATAGCTAGACCATAAAAGGTAGTGACTGTTTGATTATACGTTATACACGGAAATGATCGACATATTTAGAATTCGACTGTTTGTTGGTCATCGAGCAACGATTATTACCAACTTAAACAGGTGCTGGAGATGATTGTTATACTCATGATCCATGAAAACGTAACTTATAATTGCAATCAATAGATAAGGTTTAACGTTTTAGAATGGTAGCAGTTAAAGTAAGTAGCATGAAACAGCAAAGCCATTAACAGCTGTAACATCAAGTTCAAAGCTTGCTCTTGTAATACTAAGAAAAAATGGCATTATCTCTAATATAGTTTTTGTCATCACTATCAAAAATTGTCTGCTCGCGGCGTAAACGATTTCCTTTATGGTGGGTCCACCGTGCGCTGGTAAGTTCACTCTACTTTTGAGAACATTTGTCCATATAGATGGACAAACACGACCATGAAGCAAAATATAAGTAATTACCAGATCGATTTGGGAATAATCATTATAACTAAATGGCTAGCGGTCTTAAGAGACATTTTCCTTATTATAGACATCTGAAATCTATCAGAAACGTAACACTTAGGCTGAACTCGGATTTTTGTTAAAATGATGGCATGAAAATTCGTCAATTTTTCAAACAGAACTTAAAAGTAGCTTAATTCTACAATCAAGCATATTTGAATCGTTTTGACTGCTTGGCTTGCCAATGGACAGTAATAAGTTGGACGCACATAGTGCATAATTTTACAAAGTTTAGTTCCAGAATCTACCGAACTCGTTTGTAGCAGCCTAATAAAAAACGTATTGATAAATGCAGACTAAATAAAGAAGATAATTCAGATAAAATAAAGGTTACTTTTTTAGGTTAAGTAAATAAAAAGTAGCGACCCAGATTGCACTATATATATATATATATATATATATATATATATTCAGGACCAAAATTCATCTGTCTATCTTCTACTCTTTTTGAAGTAAACCCCACAGCTCCGTCAGGATGTAAACAGAAATTTCGTTTTTAAAACGTGAGGGAAAATCAGCTATTGCCTTAAATAATCGATGTCAACGAATCCCCACTGGGAAGATAAATTTATAAAATACACGGTTTTTACCGTTGTGGATTATATTACGGCGGCTTTTATATATATATATATAGGAGATCCAGCACAAGGCTTATGCTGAAGGGGCCGACAGTGTATCAGAAAAGACAAAAAGGTTTATTTCCGATAATTCCACTCTAGTATCTGTGATATATAGTTTTGCTTTGATAATTAGTCCTTTTTTTATTTGTTGAGCCTTTTTACACTTTTTTTTGTTACCTTAAGCCTTTTGTATTTTGTTAAAACGAGTCTGAACGTATTGATATCGTGTTACCTATTTCTATCACTAAATTTCACTAGAAAAGTAACTTTTTTAGATGACTTTTAAGTGGCTCAAGCTCTAAATTGGAGTTGTAATTAAGGCGACTGGAAATTACACGTGTGTGTCAAAGATGTCTCTATTGTCACATGGAAGAAAAATCAGTCGTTGCTTAAGTTATATAGCTACTTTTGTCCCAATTCATCCTTATAACCCTTTATATGTATAGAAATTTTGTTTATTGCACACAAAACCACAATACATTTGTGGTAAAAGTGTTTTAGAAAAGATGAAGTTTATCCGATTTATGTATCATCTTAACATCGTAGTTACCTGACTTATGTAGAGAATCCATAAAAAAACGGGTCCCTACCTGGTTAGCAGACGATTTGGTAAAATACATGTCCGCTTGAACCTCATCAAGGTGAAACGTAGACAAATGCTCATCCATTTTCTCTTTTTTACATTCAAATAAATCAGTAGGAAGAAATTTATACCAATACAGATGATGATTATGGGTTGTTCGTCACTTAGCCGAAAACTTCTGCTAAACTATTGGGACACAGGTTAATATTTGGAGTCTATTTTTCACACAGGAATCTTCATGGCTAAGGTCGCCATATTGCTCAGTGTCGTATGTGCAGGTTATTATCTTTCGAACCGCAAAAAGAGACCGTGGAATGTTATCGGCCTCTATGGGATCTTTTCTACAATGTGCAACGACTTCGGGATCGCCTTGCCTATCTGTGAGCAAATGTTTACTACGCAGCAAATTAAATAGCTCATTAGGTAAAACAATACTGATGATTGTTACTCATATATTATGTTTAGGTAAGAACGTAGCCGGCTGCTTGTAAATATACAGCCATTCCTGTAGCAATTTAGACACTAAATCTCTATAGGCATATCTCGCAGTACAAGGTTCGGTTTCGAAATTTTAGCTTAGATATCCGCCTTTCGAATTCAACTTAAGCTATGTTCTTAATAGTTTGCGATAGATTCGTTTATTTTATAAACTAAAAACACTCGTCAACAATGACGTTAAATTCTGTTTCGAAATATGGCCAAAAAGATTTCCTTGACTTTTAACAATTTTGTTGTAAGCGGAAATTTTGTCTGATACTTGGCTAAAGGAAGCTTGTGTTGAGTGTTAACAACTTTTGTTTGTATGAGGACACTCTGTCCTGAGACTTGGCCAATGGGAGACTTATTTAAGTTTTAACTTCTTTCAATGTGGAAATGTTGTCCTAAAACATGACCAGAAAAAAACGTTTGTTTTAACCCGTTCCTTGTATCTTCCTGAAACTTAAATAGAGAACACTTGTTTAGGTTTAGGTTAGGTTAGGTTAAACAAGTTTTAACAGCTGTTCTGTATGAGGAAACTCTATTTTGAGACTTGGCCAACGAGAACTTCTTTGAGTTTTAACAAATACACTACATGTAAGGTTCTGTTTTGAAATATGACCAAAAAGATTTCCCTGACTTTTAACAATTTTGTTGTATGCGGAAATTTTGTCTGAAACTTGGCTAAAGGAAGCTTGTTTGAGTGCTTAACAACTTTTGTTGTCTTATAGGACTTCAGCGTCTGTCACTGAGTTGAAACTAGGTTTTTCCTAGATTTTGGAAGCTGCGACAAATCAATGACGGGTCCTGTCAAACTCAGAACTGTGGTGACAAGCCGTAGCCATACCTGCCATCTATCTGTATGCTGTATTTCTGTTTAAAAGCCATGTGTGATATTCTACCTCGACGAAATGGCCATGAAATAGAATGAACTCTCCCATTTATTACGAGATATACATGTGTGGTTTATTTGCCTCTACGAAACGCAAGCCACTTTCTCGGTGGTCCTTATATTCTTAACATTGTTGTCATCTATGTTCGTTGAAAGTTACTTGAAGTTTCGTAACCTTTCATGAACTACGAACGTAGTCTGTATCGCATTTGGTGCTCTCATAAAAAAGAGAGCTGTAAATAGCTTTGAGTCGCACCATTTCAAAACACTTTCAGGTCTGGAACTGCCGAGCCTATTGCTCTATCAAAAGAAAAACTCCTTGAAAATACGCCTTTAACTTATTGGTAATTATGTAAAATTATTTAGTGAAGAGCCTGTTTGGGCCGGCTTTATCATCGGAGCTGTACCTAATCGCGCTGCTTGGCTTCTGCATCCTGAATCCTCTTTGTATATATCTGATGGAGTACCACCGTCAAACTACCAGCTTCAGCCTTTCGGAAGGCTGCCATACATCAGACGAGCCAACGACATCAACTGCCACAGGTTAGAGCATTTTCTGCAGCAAGCTCCGCTACCTTCAGCAAATAGTTAATGGGCGCTCATAGCAGACGACATCATTTGACATCTCTTATTCGAAGTGACGTTGGAAGTCATTTACCAGGCTTCATGGTAGTTTCAACTAGAATGCTTCTGCTCCGAATACAGTTGTCAAATTTTGAGCGATCGAAAGAAGAAAAACGCACTCAACGGTTTGTGTTAGTTCGTGGTAGCGTAACATAGGGCTCGCATTTACCGAGAATTCGACACCGCTATAGAAATTACCTTATAGAAATGCTATGAAGCAAGTAGGAATCTGCCCCACTAGCGCCATCTTCTTCTTAGTGAAGCTGTTACTACTAGGGGGCAGAAACAGGCTGGACAGTGTAAAAGCAGCTATATTTTATACCAGGCGTTCGCTTTAACACCTTACAACACAATAATAGTATAGTCAACGTCGCAACGTCTAAAGTTTTGAGCCACGTTATGACTTCTACGTACAGCACAAATCTAATAAGAAGTAAGCGAAAGATCTTAAATTGTGATTTATTAATTTTACTAGTAGAGAGCACAGAACCTATGACGTGGGTTAATTTGATAAAATTGTTACTTGTTGGTTATATGCTTCCCATATGCGTAGATTGTAATCATGTATTTAACATATATAGCGACGAAGAGATCTGGCCTGAATTATGGCTTGATGACCTTCCTATTCTACTTTACTTTAAAAAGAGTTTATGGCAAGATAACGACTCCGCAATGCCTAGACTCACTGCTGATTCAAACAGAAGAAAAAAAGTCGTTATACTATGTGTCAAGTGATGCAGAGACGATAAAGTACGTAGTAATAGATTGTCACACAAGGGCATACCTGGCTAAGGGAACACCACGTCGACCTACCACGTGGGAAAAGAGGTAGGCTATGTGCTATTAGGAAGGTAACAAAGCTATGAACTTAGGAATCGAATGCACTAAACATCGGCCAAGCGAATCACCATCATATAGGGTAACGTTGCTATGAAGGATTTATTGATACATCAGAATATCTAGAAACATAGAAACATTTTAAGAAGATATATTTGGGCACTCCCGGCCGTGCTTTACCGATTCGAGTGATTCAAACTAGGCATTTCCACCCTGGTGATAATTTCTCGTGGTAGAAACAGAGCTATTGCCCTTTAAACAATAGCGATTAGCTCCACCGCCCTCGATTTCTGTGGACAGCTGTTTTTTATAGATGTACTGCGTCACTGCCAGTATATTTAGGGAGTTGAGTGGAGTTCAGCACAATATGGAATCGTAGAGAAATAGTGTGCAGCCAAAAACACTGCATTTTTAAAGCAATGGTGCGGAGGGAAGATGTGTCTTATTAGCATTATATGTTGTAGTTCTACCAATTACTATCAGGGGCTTTAGTTACTTTATTCTATTTTTAGCATTGTAAATGCCTTTGCCAACCTAATATGTGAAATAACGATTTAGGAAGACCTGTAGAGGCGACGGAACGTAGAAAACTAAGGTCGTCGTTATTCTTACACCCTAGTCTGCTTCCACAGATAGGTTCGCCCTCTCTCTCTCCTGTATAGTCCATGAGATCGAGCATTAAACACTTCGCCAAGAATGCCCCTTGGTACATACGTCGAAGGATCGCTGTTCGAATTACTTGCTTTTGGTTTGTTTTTAGCAAGCGTAAAAGGTGATCGAAGTGTCAACGGCCCTAGCCAAGCGTCGTTGCTGGCACGAACAGTCCTCCGAACCCTTGCCTATTCTCATGTTGTCGTCTGTCTACTTGGAGGAATAGTCAACGTCACTGGATGGCAAAAGTGCTTGCCCTCTTTCGTTGAGTCCAGCTTAAAGGTGAATACACAACAAAGCTGAAGATAAGATATATCGCAATCTGAGTTTACACTTAAAGTAATAAATAATAAAGGTATTCAATAAGAGATATGAATTTTTAAGACACTTATCCCTCTTTCCAACATCTCGCATGTTACGACTGACCCTCTGGTTGCCGTGTGGGATGACAAAACTTTTCGCGCTAAAATGTACGAAACAACATGGATTCAAGAGTCATCGAAGGGCTGCAACAACAAAGTTCCTTAAGTTCGGCAAAGGGATGCTACAAAACTTCACGTGTGTGAACTTCTTCTTTAGCCTGATACTATTCGTGGCTAGCACAGTTGGATAATAGACATCCTGTGCTGTGATGGTGACCAGTCGTACATAATTCAACGTAGATTCCCTTCACTGCACGAGGTAGCCGTAGCTAGTTGAGTTTGTCAGATCACAGCGGTCAGTGCCAACACCGTATCTGCAAATACGTGTACATAGATAGTTACGATGTAGTAGTTGCTGATAATTTTTGTTTGTGTGTGTTTTTGTTTTATTTTAGACCACAGGAGATTCATTTGCTTCGCTAATTCTTTTCCTTCTCGGATTTCGATTGGATCATCAGAAAAACTCAAAATCGCAGTCGACCCATAAGCTCTCGGTTATTACACTCAGCATTACCAAAACGTAAGTGCGTATATATTCAGCGGATGTACAGTCCAATGCTACAAGGCTGGTGCTGAAAATCGTGTCTGCGTTCGACTATTCATGCGTGATCTGACCAGAGACTAATGTATTTAAAGGCCTGAATATAATAGCGAAAAAAAATACTAGTTAAGGCGTTCAACGAATTGTAACTCGTTGCCGCTAGTTCCAATAATCGAGAGAGACAAAAAAAAATACATACATATTTCAACAATGTTAGCCATAGCATATGTTTTGAAAATTTTGTCACAGCTACTCAGGTGATATAGGCACAGACGTATATTACTACTGCTTATATATAAGTAAACCCACAAAAAATGCGATATTAACTCCCTTTTAATTAAGACTCCCTTTTAATCAAGTTAACAATATTTGCTGTTAGATGCTGATTTTCGATAATTCTAAAATGAATTTCTGTTTGTAGCATCGTCCTACCTATTTTGTGTCTGATTGGCGTCCGCATTTTGTCCGGATCGGTAGCCCTGTCCAACTTTGCTTTTATTTATGGAGCGGTACCTACACCGCCGCTAGTGACCGTCTACGCCACCGAGTACTCTATCAATCCGCAAGAAATATCGATGGCCGTCTGCATCTCATCTGTGTTATCACTCCCACTGCTTTTTGTTGCATCAAAAGCTACTGCCTTAGCTATCGCTCAGGTAATAAAAACATCTTATACTATAGTAACAAGCAGGAACTACAAAGTTTTACTTAGAGGGCATCTTCTTGTGCAAAAAAAGAACTCCCATCAAATTAAACTATTTATACTCGAAGGTAAAGCATGTCTCACGTGAAAACGAAGACAAAAACGGTTGCGATACGAAGACTACGATATGTCAATTTATATTGACTTTGAAGAGGTAGCACCAAACTTTCGACAAGAGTCCAGCGGGTAATTTTAATTTTCTCAGAAATTTCAGTATATTGAATTTTAGTCCATGTTTTAGTGACCTGTAAGAATTTTATGCTCAAGGACTGACCAAATTCGAGATCTACTGCACGTTTTAGGCCAGGAGCTAAAGACGATTTACCTTATAAAGACAAAATACCGATCTGAACTATCATTCCGTTACCTCAGAGGAAAAAATCTGGATGATTACTGGTAACAGGTCCTCCTGGTAACGGTCCCATGAAATCCAACCGAAAATAGGCTAGCGATTACATTGAAAGCAATTATCCATAGTACATATTTTTTATTAATTATTCAGCCTGACACTTCAGATTATGCAGCATTGTCATCTTCGCTAGTGCCGGGCGTGCTTTGTCTGTGTATAGCAAATTTTCTATGTGGCCTCCTCATCGTTGTCTACCTCACAAAGATATCGTCTCGTTATACTCTGCTACCTTTTCATTTTATTCTCTGCTTCAGCTTGACACAGGTGAGTATAGCGTAGGTAACGATTTGATGACAGACAGTAGACTCTATTGTAAAATAAGCAAACATCTCCGATGATTTTTATACTGTTTATAATAAACGTTTCAGCTGTTCCGTCTGTTGTGTCTGTAGATTTATACTAAATAACTACTGACGTTGTTGTTGGGACCGGATTAAGAACAATCGAAGCTAGTTTGACTGATACGTTATTCAATATTACAGAATCCTTACTGTCATCATCAGAATTGTTTGATCAGCGTTGATAGGTTGACGTTAAGCGAGCACGGACATCTAAGCTAGCTTGCTATATATAGTAACAGTACTTGGAAAACCCAACCGGTAGATACATGTTACTAAGTTGATCATAGGGCAGCAAATATATTTGCCCACATTTCAACCGGTTTACTTAACCCATCCAGAGCTGAAGAACTCGTTCAGCCAATTGCTGAGATTTTCTTCATCGCTGAGTGTCCCAAAAACGTATATTGAGTATCTAAACAAAGTCAGGTATTTCAACGATACCTAAATAATTGAATGATGAATATTTAAGATCATTCATATCAGGATTGTTGACAATTCATTACAGATGACGTTATTAAATGATTTTACAATCTCCCATAAACTTGTAAGTACTAGTTATTTAAGGATGCTACCTAATAGTGCGATGGATATTGGAGACCGTAACCATTTCCACGCTCCATAACTCTGAAAATAGAAAATGAAACGCTTTGGTAGAACTGCACTTAAGCCAGCAATATCTATATGCACCTAGACGAAACGGAGCGTAATGGTGGACTACAGATATCTACTTTCTAATCGAAGCTTTTGTTTGCCAAAAACGAATAGACCTGCATACAATAAACTCGCCCACTACGTGTATTAAATCATTCCGAGTTCCATGTCCGGTATTGCCATTAGGAGTTACCTCAGTCGGCTGGCCTACGGATTGAAACGGCTTGTTTACGCCCGTGTTCGGGCCTGGACAGGCACATGTTCTTATTTTTAGTAGGAGATCACGTTAACACTGCACCATTGCGGGAACTGTCGACTTAAATCTAGCGTTACTATAGTGCCGCCTCGTTTTCGGAAACACACATATAAGCAAGAAGTCATACTTTTACCCATCGAATTCAATGGTACGTATTTGTTTTCATTATCTGTTTCTTTCTTTAAAGATTTTGCAGTCGGTGGGTCTTGTATTCTGGCATCTACCTGAACTAGTTTTGGAAGTGTATCCTGTATTTTTCGTGACCTGTGGCCAAATGAGCGGAAGATTATTTCTTGCCTTCTTTGCCATGAGTATTTCACCATCGCTGACAGAAAGCTCACAACTGGAACGGTTTAAACGACCGCTAACATTTATTGGATTCAGGTAAAGCTTACTCAAAATACACATTTATATCTTTAGATGGTGTAGAATGTAAAGAGCGTTGCTTGTTGAAACCTCCATTTACAGGGTCTTTTTTTTTGTCAAGTATTATCCCGTGTTTAGCTTTATCGACTGTAGTATTAAGTTGGACTTATCAGTAAGTCCAACTTCATACTTCAAGTTCATTTATTCAATAACGAACTATTAAGTGTCATTGCCTGGGAACAGAATGAATTAGAACGCTTATGAAGAAAAGTTCCGAAGGATAAGGCATTCAGAAAGCTGTTTTAATGCGGAAAGGGTGTAAACGTCGCATACGTTTCAGTTTGCCTGCGTTAGTTACATTATCGATGCATATCTGGGTGGGACCCAATGAAGATATTCCAGGCCAAGGGAACCCACCTACAGCATTGCCGCTCTTCCTTCACGGTCACATGGAGGTATCGTAACTAAAAAACAACCAAGCAGAGTCTCCAATCATGACACATCATAAACTTAGAGCCCTTTAGATTATGACACATCGTAAATTTGTCGTAAATCATCGTAAAGGATGATGGAGCCTTAAGACAAACCTCAATTTTAAATGTCCGAGATACTGTCGCTAGGAGAAATTCAAGCATCACAGAGTTACAGAAATACTAAGGCCATATTTGCGTCAGTTTCACGTGTTTGCTTCGCCGTTGCAGATGGTCCTCTTCGCTTGCATTTTATCATTCAGTCTGTGTGCGTCATTCGGCTCCCTGCTGGACATTTTCTTCAGAGACACCGGTCTGTCTAGCCCTATCGTCGTCGTCAAAGAAAATGTCCAATCTACAGCTATTGCAGAGAACCCGCCCGCGACAACCACGAGGAACAAACCGTACGTACTCATAATGGCATATACTAACACTCAACAAAGCACTACGTATTCGACCGGCGTTTTAGCTCCCTTCATAATGTTAATATATAAAATGTCAGTGTGTGGAGACTGGTTTTTCAAGTTGATACGGCAAATTGGCCTTAATATAATAATAGGGTGTATTTATGTTGGCCAACGCCGACATTGACAGCCGCATAAAATTCTAGCAAATGCTCTTTCAACGTAGCTTTAAGCTAGGCGAACTGATTTCTCAAGTTTCTTATTCTGTCAGTGCTGACTAATACAGCCCTAGGCTCATTAACAGAAAATGTCTGAATCGTTGGTTGGTCAAAACAGGACTATTTAAAGGCTCATAATTGAATCCACATAGCAATGATTAACACCTCACACAGCATCGCTGGGTTTCGTCAACTATATATGTGTCTGAAAAATTATCCGAAATCTAAAAAAGAATCAAGAAATCAATAGTATGTTCTTAAGGTAAGCACAAAATTGACAAATTGTTTTCATTTCTACACATCTATTTCCATACAAATAGTAATTTGTTGCTTATGCTAGTCTAGCATTTATTATTTACTCAGATTAACCAGTACGGATAGCTGCGGATTATTAGGCAGAAATATAGGACGCAATGTAAGCATAATGTCCCTACTTCGTCCTGCTTTCCTTGTAGGACACGTCATCGGTCGAAACATATGCTTGCACTAGTCTGCCTAACTGGCTCGGCCTTTGTGGTAAGTCGAATAAGCCCATTTGGCAATACGCGCGCGTTTTTACGTGTTTTTTTTTAAAAACACAGCTAGGATTGCTGATCTTTACGCACCCGTATATAGTTACTATATATTACTATATATTACTATATATATACGTATATACTAACTATATATTAGTTCTAACGGAGATGGCGATTATATGTTATGTCAGCGATCTCCATTAGAATAGTCTCGACAGCGACACGAGCACTTGCGGCTCGGACTACATTGCCTGCCTGCCTGCCTGCCTGTATAATCCCTTATCCCGCAGTCTATATATCGATGATAATGAGATTCGCGTCACAAGGTTTCGCCTCCTTTCTTCCTTTTCTGTTTCTAATTTAAAACGATCGTTCTGTGACGCCGACAAACAGATACGGAATCAGTACCATGCATCTAGATCAGGGTAACCGTTTTGTTCCTCGGTCATAGACTAACGTATTTTCCAAAAATGTTTTGTTTTACATGAAAGTGCATCGTTTTTAATGCGGTTTACGATTATCTCAGTATCTCATAGCTATAAGAAGACGGTCACTATTTAGTTGTTGTTTTTCATCAAAACAAATAGCGATTCGTCCACGCGGTATCTGTCTCGAACAGAAGGCCGTATCAAAGGCCTAGATTATTTTCAGGAAGTCAATGTTACTTTAACGCATTCAGCTCTTTACTATTAAAGCCTATAGATTTATGCGTAGCCTAATAAGTTGACACTTAAAGGAACTCTGACGAATTGATGAGCGAGTTGGATCGAAGCCAACGTTAACTGTCCTCCTTCAGTTGCCTGCTGAGGTCTTCAGACGCTAATGTACTTTTATTTTTGGCTGCCGAAGTGATCAGATCACTATTCTGTTACGGAGCATAGCCACATAATAGTAGATCGACCAAGTTTAACTATGGACCCTCTATGTTAAAATTGCACTAGTTTTTTTTTTAACGTGACATTTCCTTATATTAGAGTTAGTGTACTCACTCCCTTCTGATATTCGTCTGATCTTCTATTATACAATTTTGGGTGAAAATGTGGAATGTCTTCTAAACAGCGTCAAGAATTAAATTTCAAGACCTCCACAATAAATAACTAGCCCAAGCAAACTTTCTAATCGAACCTTCTCTCGAAGGAAATCACAGTAAATCTATCTCATTCGTCATTAATATTTCTGAGCAGGGCTTAATTCATACGTATTGGCGTATTTCCGACCCGAATCGTAAAGATCGACCCCTACTTATGGCCGTTGAATTCCTCGATGGGTACATGACATTTTCGCAGGTAAGAAACCTTCCTAAAATTTACTCAAAGGTTGACGGGTCAATAGATGTGATGGAAGTTAAGTTGCCAATGAGAACTGGCTCTACGAAAGAAATGCCCTCCGCAGAAGACGGCTGTTTACGCTTATCCCATAAGTAAGTGTATCATATTTTGATTTCAATGCTGTCATCCAGGCCGTTATCATAATGATTGTCTACGGCATCCACTCAAAATATTATGGTCGAGCGGAGCGGATCATCTACACGTAAGTATCACAGCATTGCTGCGCGCGCAGCAAGCTCAATAACAAAAGAAGACGAGCAAAAAAACAACACTAATTACTGTTCATAATATCAATTACTTATCGAAATAGTAAACACATAATAGCAACAAAATGAGATTTATATGTTGCAATTGTATATTAGCGTTAAATTTCTTTGATTATTTTAAATTATCTATTTAATTCGCCTGGTTCGTGTTTGCCTGTGTTTGTTTCGATAATTGGTTCATTTCTGCATTTATGTTTATCTGTTTCATCATGCATGTATCATTTGGTTGGTTGCAGCAGTCGGTTATTCCGCAAGCTTTGTAATTTTGTTAGTTCGTCATTTGTAGTAGCGTCGTTCACAGCACACGGTCTACGTAGCCAGCATTCGCAACCTGTATTAATCAATGCTGGTAAGCTGGCTTCTATAAACTGTTCCGCCAAATAGGGTAGCGAATATATGTCAATATGGGTTGTTCAGTATGAGGAGGAATCAATCCTATGTTTCAAAATGCGTGTAGTTGAGGTACACTTGTACTCGTGACTGTCTACTTGAACATCTTCACTTGGCTGTCGCAGCGAGAATCGAAGGCGATTGCGAAGAGACGCTCGTTTCTCCTTGCTCTCACATCATAACAGTGACCCATTTTTACACCAAACTGTGACCTTTAAAAATTTATCCTCACGGCAGACGGTCACATTGGTGAGTGGATGGAAGTGAAATGACGGGACATCGCCCATCGATGTATAGCTGTGAAGACTGGTTATCAAGAGTGTTTGTTTGGTGGCAGACAGCACGGCTTAGAGTTCTGGTTCGTAACTTACAGCTGACGGGTACTAGCCATAATTAAAGGAAACGATGAAAAAACTTCGCATTAAGTAGTAAGCAGAGGTGAATTACTTTTATTAGCACAACAACCCTCGATGTTATACTGCAGGAATCATGGCGGTAAATATGCAAAGTTGGAAACTCTTTGTCGTCCAGCATACTGGCTAGACATTGATCTCACGGACTACTATTTTCATACAAGAAAATTAATAACATTGTATTTCTTACTGAGCGACCTCTTTTTTTTCTTTAACAGAGCGCGATTTTTTCACAGATAACTAACAATCGTCATAACATCCGACTGGGAGTTCGCAAGGTTACACTTGTGTGTTCAAAGGAAGATAAGATTAAATAGTCCTCAGATTTGTCAACAACCATCGCTAAGGTTCTGAATGTACAATATCGAACTTGGATTGACAAAGTAATAACTTAGTTAAGTGAAGATGAACATTAGGATCTCCATTCGGGAAGATGGGGTAGGTGGCTTGCTCAACTATGGAAGGCCAATTTAGTTTTTATTATTAATATCTATAATAGGCTCTACGATTTCATACGTATTTCTATCATTCCAGAATTCGATATCGACGCTAAAAGGCCTCCGGCCCCTGCGCGTGCTATTCGACCGGTGATCATGTCGACGATGCGCTTTTAACAACGCTTAAATATATATACACATATACGGAATAATGAAAACCTATATGGCAAAATAGAACAAGTTAATACTCTCTCACACAAAAAGGTCTATGCAGCTTTGGAGTTACAATGAATTACTGAAAACATAAATGCCTTCAGTATTTGTCTCGCAAAGTTAAAGAAGCCGTAACATATGACCCGTTTTATGTAGCGTCGTATGTAACTTTTTTAAAGAATTTATTCAGATTCAACAAATCCAAACAGTTAACGTTATTCGATGCTGAACAAGACTACAACTTGATAGATCTTCTTCTACTTGTCTATAACTGATTGAACTTAAATGATACGTAATGACAATAATAATCATGTTATGGCCGTTCCTGATAGCTTGAAATCCCTGATAGAAATGATCTTTTTCTGGCCACTCGCCTATGATTTATTTGGTTTATCCACTTTCTTTTACTGCTGACGAAGTAGAAGAAACCTAATGATGCTTAGCCTGACTTGTCAGAGACGCATTGGTAGGCTCCCACAGTTAAAGGTTTGCCGGTACGAGCAACGCGTAGGCTAGATGTTGTACGTCACTCTATATACACAATAGAATAGCGACAAACTACAATTGCAGAAATCCTGTTATATTCATCAAAATACAAGTATATATGCACTACTTTATGACACTACCTGGCGCTGTTAGGTATTTGGCTTGCCATACGTTTATAGCTTTCTAACGAGCATGGTACATTGTCGAGTGAATATTCTTATATAGTTGTTAAATACTTTGTGTCCAAACCACGTAAATTTATGCTGTTCGTCAGTGAAGAGCTTATTGCCATGGTTCTAGTCGACTACTTCAAGTTAGTACTGATGGCTTAAGCATAGACGTCACTTACATCGTACCGATAACTTGACTACGACAAATGAATATTTTTATCAACTTATCGCACCGCCGGCCGGCTAATGAAGTTCTTAGCACGCCAAGAACTTCTCTTGCATTGAATAAACATTAGACTAATTCTATTGTAGAATCATCGCAGTGCTCGAAGTATTCTAGAAAAGAAGATCACGAATTGGCGCTATTCGGGCTTCAGTGCGTGTTGAGAACAAACAAGCGGCACAACTAGGAGACTTCGCCGCTCCGACAAGTACGAAAATCTATTATCATACGGCTTTGTTCAATAAGGGTCAGTTCTTGTATATATAAACGCATTTATTAGTACGAGCTCAACGTAGTAAAATGAAGTTCAATATATGAAGTTCTAAATGTATAAAAATAAAAAAAAACGTTCTATTCTGAAGCTATGAAGAATTATTGGCATTTTTCAATATGCATGCCCTTGCTTGAGTTCGAGTACCTTGAGGCATTTAATAGGCACTATTTTAAAACTTCTACTACTATTACTAAAGTGCACCTTTTATTAGAGTAAAGCTAGCTAGATTTCATTAATTTCAATTACTTATTTTAAATCGACTGACTCGAAGTCAGTATAAAACTAAAACACCACTTATTTTGCCTCAGTGGGTAGTTGTTTTCGCTCAGCAACAACAGTTTTTCTTAGAGTAACATCTGTCCTGTAATTTTAACGCGAAGGTGATGAATTTGTTAGTCAAGCTTTATCATTCCTTAGAGCACTAATTAAAAAAAAAAAAGATATTTTCCAGGTGTGTGATCTTGCCCCAGGAAACAAAATCTGTAAAATGCGCTGTCGTTTCAGGAATATGCATTTTAGGTCTCCGTCGCCCTCGGCTTAATACCTTATATTACAAAACACTCTTCATAAGCTACTTCAAGAATCGATATGTCTGATTAGCTATAAACCACACTGATTGTTTTAGTGAGATAGCTGAGACGTAAACATTAAGGTTTAAGACACTTTTAACTACAAGTTATCTAGCAGTTAAACATGATCTTGATTGACGATGCAAATGCGAACGTATATGCGTAAATTTGTTCATAAACTAATATTATTTATGCATAAGGTTAGTTTAGATTCTGTTATATATACATAACGTAGTATTTGATCTATATATATAATTACGTAAGAAAATGTTGTTAAGAAAGAATCTATTTACCTCTGCAAACCGATGAATTGGCCGCAACAAGCACACAGACTCTCTCCTTCGGAACAGTGCACGTATGACCTGCCAAATTTCGTATGATCGCAGCTTCAAGACGTCGTGACGATACAATCACCTAAAACGGTTACACGACGCCTTGAGAACTATTTGTAACTAAGTTAGACGCTTCCTCATTCAGCCGATTCTTGCCACATTGTAACATTCCGGTCACTTTTTTTTCTACTTGCTCGTCTTCTTGACGCGCTTGAGCTTCCGGCAAATATGTTAGGGACACCAAGGAATAAGTGCAGTCTGAAGATTTTCCACTTGACGGTAAACCAAGATTGCAGAAGTATCCACAATATAGTCCAACTGAATGCGGAGGTCTTCGATTTCTTGAAGATAATCAAAAGCTTGAAAAAATTGCAGTTGAATTATTATACGTCACTTCATGCTGTTTCACACATAACTGTTGGCGATAAGGTCAATCCGATTGCTATTTATAAGGCAGCATGCAATCAAAGGCTTTTGGGCTCGCAGTTCGAGACGTAAATAAGCTAAGCTTTTGGTTCCATATTTATGTTTTAACTGTAGGGTCAGCGCATTTAGAAAAATACGCTTGCAGAGAGTGCAATACCGTAGATCATAAAGATGGATATTGCTCTAGTTACTCAAAATCCTGGCTCAAAATATCTATTTATCGCCAAAAATATTGAAAGGAATACAGAGCCATAATTTTGATGCTAATATTATAGCATTGAGAGCAAAGCTAGACGACAAACTTGACGTAAAGACAGTAACGCCGAAGGCTAGTCGCAGTATCGACCGTGTTAGCCGATAAATATATTGTAGTATAACCATTAACCACTACTATTTACGAACTCGTCAAAACAGAGACGTCACTATTATAAGCAGAGGCACCTGGTGGAGAGGTTTAGGTCGACCGCCTGTTATAATTACAGCCTCAGATAGTTAATACGCAAGACCACATATGCCTAGAATATTTCACGGCCAGCTTTGTGGGGAAATGTGAACCAAGAATGTGAACCACCTGGAAATAGCGTGAATGAAATGATCCCTTAATTACGGATACGTTCTTCTGGAGGCTCCGCAGAAGATAACCCAACGCTCCGTTCAGGCCTTAAAAATGTTGTCAAAATGAGTAGCATGCGAAACAGTAGCTCGCAGAGTAGCTACAGCAGAAACATCCGACCGTTTTCAGTCCTAGACTAGGAAAATGCCCTAAAATGACCACACTACTTTGAACACGAGACAACACCCCCGTCTTTCAGCCTGTATAGTCCCGTACAATATTCTTTTACGGGTCAAAAATGAACTTCAAAGACAAGTCCTTTGAAGCCTTTAAATCTTGTTAAGTGTGCTTCTGAGCCACGAATCGAGAATGACCTGAAGGTTCGGGACCTGAAAGTTCACTTGGACGAATGCTTCTCTCATTGTTGTCTACATACATACATTGTCTCACTGATTAGAGCAAAAGGCAGACAGGCGGGCAAAAAAATAAAACGATAATTCAAATGCTCAGAACTTCAGAGGTTAACTAGTAGGGTGCTTACGCACTCAGCCAGGTTAAATTCCTAGACCCGCTGAACAAACTCCTGACAATAGACCAGCTCATAGGAGAAAGTTTAGCCGAAGCAAAACAACGTTCAATTTCCCCTCTCGCTACGATCCGATTCTCCCTGTAATCGTAGCGGCCGTCAGTGCAAGCAGAATACGATACCAGCACTGTGGTTTCGTACAAAGGGCCATATATCGCCGAGTGAGCCATTTAGCGTGCAAGACATTTTTAACTTTTGTGGAAAAGAGTTACTTCAAGATAGAAAAGGAAATACCTGTGCTAATATACGCGCGAATAGACCACGACGTTTAACAACTAGATTTTTCGATTGTCACTTTAATATCAAATATGGAAAGATGATAATCTTCTTAAGTTCAAGGGTTCAAACAAGCTGATACTATAGCTCATCCAGTAGATAGGATAGAATCCCGGAGCAAACTATGGTGACAGCTTCTGTCGACCAGAACGGCTTTCTTTGAAGCGACTGAAAGTCTACAGCGTATATACCGGATTTTCAAGTGTTTACAGTAAACATTCAGAATAGTTCAAACTGGCCTCAAAAACTAGGCGGTCAATTAAGCCATCTTGAACTCGAAACACGAATCGCTCGGTGAAAGAAACGAATGTCTACGGACTGTAAAATTACGTTACGGTATGCTCCAGAGATTGCACCAAGCGCGTTCACCACGTATGGAAACGATAGCAAAATTATCACTGTATTGGCCAAATATCGACCATTTTGTCAGCAGTCACTTAGAACGTGTAAACGCAGCAAAGAATCCTTTAAAAATGTCTCTACAACCCTAGCTCCCTGGGAGAGAGCGGACGCGTCAACGCTGGACTAATCTATAGTCATATACTTCCTACGCTAATTAATCTATTCTAAATAGCCAAAGCTGTACGTAGTACACGTAACGAGAACGACACTGACCATATGTGCTCTGAGAGATATTTTCGCTCGGTTCTACACCCCAAAGACGATTGTTTTCGACAATAGATCTTGTTTGAGGTGTATTTTTTGGATGCTTCCGCTCCATCTACAGTCAAATGAAGAGGTTGAAAGAAGGTCAAATGACAGTGAAAGTTTCGTTAACTTCCCTGAAAAAAGCCTAGTAAAGGAACAATAGCAATACGATGCTTGTACAGCGACAAACTTCAGCTTTCAACTTTATCGGACTATGCCGGACGTGATCAGCGGTGCTGATCTTTTTTTTTTGGAACGAAGGGAACGATACTCAACTTACTATACTAGGAGGAACCCATACAGCCTAAACAAAAACACAAAATATCTGTCGAGATAAAACGCTACTTCCACCGTCCGTCCGTCCGCTAAACAGCCTTTATATTCGCCTTTATATATATATATATAATTATCAGTCAACGAAAACTTCAGTTTAGACTCTTTGAGTGCTTCGAAAACGAGTCGAAAAGGCACCTTACAGAGTACTGATTCACGGGGTTTTTCGGCGAAGACACGCAGACGAATTACGGGTTGGAGCGAGCCCTGCAGCCAATCATATCAGAGGCCAAAACCTGTGCCGTTCATAGAACGAGGTCCAACCGGAATCTACAAACCACCTAAGCAGTTGCAAGCGACTGGCCAGGGCCAAGCATATATAAGCGACAAGATAAACATTTGCCCAATATTTTAATAAAGGGGAAAATGTACAGCAGATAATTATAAGAGTATATAAACTGTTAAATATATACCAAAATTCAATACCATAACAGGGTATCGACATAAGCCGTTACACAAGCTCCAAGGCACACGAGAGTGAACTTATCTCTTTTTCGCGAGTTGATTTTTTCGTCTATACGACGCTCATAAGGAAATGTTCATGGATAGCACGAGGCAGACAAAGCCATTTTTTATATACATATAATGTATAGAACTTTACGAAGTAGATACATTCCAATTAAACTTTCCAGTATTTAAAGAAAGTTAACCGAATAGATGTCTTCAAACTTCATCGGTGCAATTTAAGATGAATAAACTATCAATACAATTATTTCTTGGTCGAAACAATTTTTATTACTATTCGACAGCAAGTAAAACTCATTTAATCTTTTACAAAAACGAAGTGATTTATTAACACATTGAAGTTCTTATTACTCAATAAATAAGCTTTGAACTTATAAACAGTTCTTTTTTTTTTCTGTAATCGTTTCTTTCATATGCTCCTATTACACATCGTAAATAAATACATAGAGCGTACATTTATCCGTTTCGCAGTAAAATCGAAAAATTCACAATATAACAACATAGAACGTGCGTACACTGGCATTTCTAATAAGTACTAGCTTCTTCTATCTATATGAGATACAGAAGAAATTTGTTAACTTAATTTTATTGTTTGTTACGTGAAAGCTTTACTAATGGCTTCGTATTCGTTGTTCTGAATGCCGCTGCATTTATCGGTGCAATAATGGATCGTACAGCCGGTTTTAGACGATGAGCCTTAAACAAAAGGGCCTGTATTTCGATAATAAAATCGCCAAAAAAATAGTTTTCAGCTGTTGCTCCAAATGGATACCGTTTAGCTTGAAATTTATATCAAATAAAAATAACCGGCATATTATGGAATTTTATAACTGCAGAACGTATGCCATAAAAACAAGTTTCAAATGCGCTTAAGTCACCTTCTGGCTTTCCTGTCTGGCCTCGAGATTCTGGTTCACCGTTGAAGAGATGCAGGATACTCCAATGCAGAAAAATCACAGCTCATCGCGAATCCTACCAAAGGCTTTCCTCAATTTAAGCACCACCTGAGCGAAATCCTTGTTCTTTAAAACAAAACTGAAATATAAATTTGACATATTTAAATACACACGGAAAACTTTTCGATCAATCAGGTCCCGTCTCAAACTATAATGCTTTTGTAGCTATGTCTTAAATCAGCTTTTGCTGGCCATCTGTTACGAAGCATTGAAGGCAGTACCAATGTACAATGAGTTAGCACATCTAACAGCAGACCTCTGTGTGAAAATGAGAAAGAGGCGAGCAATAGAAATCACTCAAGTACGTCTAATTGCTACTAAATAAAGAGCGTTTAAAACAGCGGCGAACTTGTAAGGATTAGTCCAGGATCAGCATTTAAAGTAATGCTGTGACAGCACAGATAGTAGGATTTTAGAAATCCCAAGAACAGAGTCGCCCACATTTTGATTTATTTGCGAGACCCAATTACTTACTCTACGACATGCTCTGAGAGGCACTTGCTCTCAGTCTTTAATGATTCGTCATTTTTCCGTTTAAGTTCATCGTAGTACTTTGCTATCGCGGAAAAGTTGTCAGACAGATCAGTGAGAAACTTCTGCACCGAGTAGTTGGGCTCTGCGGAGCCTAGATGACAAGCAGCCGTATAATCTGGAAGTGTCTCTGGATAATCAAGGGTAAACATAATAGGGAAGTTCCGTTATCATTGTAGTAGTACCATCAACCTATGTTTTAGTATTCTTAGCCTAGCTCGTGTATAATTCAAGGACCCGAAACACATATGAACTGGATGGGTGACGCCAGATACTTTTAACTAAATTTAGAAACCCGTTTCCTACTTATTTACAGATGACTCAATATTCTGGAATTTAATAGTAAATACTTATATACTTTGCACTAACCATGCCCGCTGGTACCTCACTAACTAAATAATGTGCATTGTACTCAAGGTGTATTTATTCATGCATGCCTTCAAAAAAGCATTACAAAACAAATATCGAGCAAAATGAGTTTTTCGCCTGCAACTAATATCTTGTAACGCCTTTCGACATTTATGTTGCCTGTTGTCACTATGATAAACCCAAACTTTTCTGGGACTGGCCTTAAATTAGCCACAATTTATCTAGGATCTCCCCCTAAAAGCCTACAGATATTTCCCGCTGTACAGTTTGATACCTGCTATCTTTTGTATTATACTTTCTTCGACTCAAAAATTACCTCCAGTCCTGAGCATGTCGGACTAAATTGCTCTCGCAAGTTAGACCCATTTACAGCCCGCAGCGATTGAGGCTTAAATCCGTATTTTATGTGTCTTTATGCAGACCTGTATGTTTTCCTAAGCTCCAACATTCTATTTTTTCTATTTTATGTTGAGTACCTGGTTTGTGTCTTGTTATTTCCAAAAATAACTAACCTTCTTTTTTGAAGTCCTCTACAGAAAATATGGTTTATTGATATAGACCCTTGTGAAATGTCTTGGAACTCGGAGCGCAAGTATTTGCGATTCAATTCTAACCCTCTCTACTGTTTGTTTGTTTCTGTAGACCATTCGAAATTGCTTTGTTTCATTGAAGCCCATTGTAATTCTAGAGTAAGCAGTGAGCGGGATTTTACGCCGACTTCAAATTCTAAGGATGACGACCTTAAGTGAGGGAAAGCGCATTTTCGATACCTACTTTATTTTGCTTTCTGCCGACGGCAGCCAGCTACCGAAGTGGCACAGGATAATTGTGCCGTTTACATTGAAAACGGTATAACTGAGATAAACCAATTCAAACTGATTTGCGAAGTTCAAGAATGACGACTTGGACGGAAGGATGCACCTCACCTCGATCAGCCATCACCGAATGAAGGCATTTTTGAAGGAATACTGCCAGCAAACAGTTCGTGAATTGGGAGGAAAATGAAGGAATTTTATATGGCTATCAATAGATAGCTTAAATCTACAAGATTTGCTTAAATATTAGAAGTTTATATACCTATGAACGCTTCTTTTACTGAGTGAACATCACTATATACATGGGTTCTCCCCATTGCCTGATCACTGGTAACATTCGTATCAAGTTTTTACACAGAACTGTCGCCGCCGACGAAAAGTGCTTTCTCCACGTCGATATAAAGCAAAGAAAACAACGGGTAACGTTGGGAGATATGCTTAGGGTTACTCAAACCAAATTTTCGTCCTAAATAGACTATGATATGCGCTTGTTAAGACTGAACACTGTGAACTGTATGAAGAATAATAGAATGATCAAGAAGGATCTATTTGTAACACAATCGCGTTAAGTAAACAAGGCTATCCAACAAACAACCCAACAGACGAGGCGAGGTTATCCTGTTCCACAAAAATTCCAGGCCGCACATAGCAAACGTGTCCTGCAATGGTTTCAGTGCAGTTCTTTTGCCCTCATCACATTCCCTTGACCTAGTTCCGATTTGATCACCGGTGAGGAATATTAGCAACTGTGCTTTCGACAGTGAAAATGATCTTAAATGACGAGACCTTAAAAGTTCCAACGAGAATGAACGCATTGGTCAACAGACGGCAAAGGGTCGTGAAGAGCGACGGTGAATACGTGATTTGTTACAGGAACTAAAATAAGCCGCTGGCTCTTTACAACACCGCTTATGTTGCAATCTAAAATTTTACTTCTAGATCCAAGTTGAGCAAGGTCCAAAGAGTCCAAAAGATGAGCAAGTATAGTATTACGTTTATGCAAATTCAAGGAAGACTTGTGTGTTCGTGATCCAGATAAACTCCTAGATCTTTGCAGATTTTTAATACATGAATACTGTGAGAAACGTTGATGAGTACTAAGCACCACTCTTCCTATATAGTTTGATAGTGGCAGATGATAAAGATGCAACGTAAAGATTTCACTCATTAGCGGAATACGGTACGAGCGCCTTCAGTCGTTCTTCGAGAGTGCTTTCTATAAAGATAAAGCATTTTAACTACTTAAATATTAGAACAGGAATTGTCGCCGAGTCGCTTCTGCTGCAGTTCTGCTTATGGGTGAATTCTTCTATGTTCATAACAAACTTCGACTGAATTTTGGCAAGGTGGCCTCGTCGGGTGTCGATCTAGTTAGTAATCGTGACGGTGATGATGATGATAAAAATAATCATGACAATAATTATAATAAAATGCCTATGGTAGTCAAAAGCAAACGTTGGTTAACGGATAACGTGATTTACCCACCGAAAAATTGTTCCACGATGCTTTCGGCATGGTCTGCGAATACAGGCAAGTCATTGAGCTTAGCCATAATGAAAGGTCTGAGCAGGTTCAAATAATTCGTCATATCGAGCACAACAGAGGCTGCATTCGCACGGAACTGTTTTACGTCAAAATCCGCACTATGCCCCATAACGCCACCTGTAAAATAGTTCAATGATTTTTAACTTTGTAGTTCTCTAAATATAAAAGTCGTGCTTACTCCTCTAGATGTCTCGTCTCCAAGGTTTGGAAGTCTACGGCGGGCAGGGCAGGGCAGGGCACGGCCAAGTCCCCATTAGGAACTTTAGGGACACGTTTTCATGTAGAATGGACTCCGGGCATAGACATGCTCGTAGAAACAGAAAGAGGCGGGCCACTAAAGCCGCCGCATTCAGGTTTCTTTATAGCACTAAAAATCAGTAACTGCAATACAATGTCCACTAATCAAAACAAGTCACTATTTTTGGGTGTATCATTTAGAGCCCAAGCGTGATCGAACCCACAAAAGTAACAGAGACCAGAACATTATGAACGCTTATCCCTTCCTATATCTGACCACTGACAGGTCACGCATTCTTATTGAGCCAGACGGGTAAAATAGTTGAATTATACATACATATATATATATATATATTTCAGCGGCCGGTTTGTGGTAGCAAGCATCTGTTTATTTCTTAATCTTAGTTCCAGAAGAAGACCAGTGCTTTCTAAGGCAAAACAGCGACCTCACCAAGGTTAAAAACCCGAAAGCAACAATGTAGTTTATTGCCAGTTTTCGTGCTGCCTCTAAAAAAAATCCAAGGAAAGCTTCTGTGAGGCAAACCAAAAGATCCTTTATGAGGCTTAGCCTATAAGGGCTAAAAGAATTATAAAAATGATCCGAAAAGCGATTTTTTACGATTTTCTATACGTTAACTAACGGCTGTTTTGAAAAGGCGAACGGTCTTTGCTCCACGTTGTATGGTGGTTATGTTCAACAGACGTAACCGTCAACATTGACGCCTTTAGCACAAGCAAAAAATCTCGCCGATATATCTCTTTTCGTTTAAATAGTTTCAAAAACAACTTATTCAGATGCTCTGCATATATATACATATCCAAAAAAAAAAAAGGTTCATTGGTCAATCGTTTGTTAGGACAACGTAGTTCATTACACGGTTGCTGGCGGAAATAAGTTAAGTAACGTTTATCTTATAAAAACAACGTTTAACCATTGGCCGATGCTAGCCAGATAGACTGCTGTGAATTATATGATAATTTCTATTCAATGTAGCCTTGTTATCGGGCCGCTTCACTGATTGACGCCAGATGGACACGCTTAACAATTTCAGACATGGAACAATCGTTTTTTAACTATTTTTATATATTTTGTTCATCGCAATAATAGCACCACTTTAAGCGCCATCTATAATCGATGCCGGTATAGTATTCGTCACAAAGTTGTTCAACAACGACCTCCGCTATCAAACAATAAAGGATTGCCAATCCGCAGTGTTAAAAGAAGGAGGATACATTTTTTTTGCTAGTAAAGAAGTGGTTTTCCACTTCAACGACACGATTTTGTGAAATTCATGGGTTCGATCTTTGTTGCTTTGCGAAGTTTTAACATAGTATATAAGTTTACTCTCAACTGGTATAAGTTCGTACAATGGAGAAAATCTGTTTGCCCGAATTGGTGGATAATTACAATAACGTAGGCAGTATCTTCGGTCAAAGTGTACCTGTAAATTTCAACGTGATCACCTACCTTGGATCAGTGCGAGAACGACAAAACCAGCCACAGTGACGTTGAGGTTCATTTTGAGTTTGTTAATTATGCGAGAAAAACTGTCAGTCGTTTTCAACGCCCCAGTACCGACTTTAAGGGAACTACACCAGTTATCTACAAGATTCGCTCTTGTCACTGGTCAAAACTTGAGACTGGCCGCGCGAAACATTGAGGAGGATCAAGGCTTTAGGACAAGTGACTGCGGCAGCGTTCGTTGATTTTAGGCTCCCTCTCACTTGTTCACGGCCGCTACCACTAGCCAGTAGTTGTAAAGTGGTACGGGATCGTTGGATTGAAATATCCCGTATGGCCGAGGCGCCGACTGTAGTTATGGTAGGACGACGACGTATGACTATCTCTCTATGATGATGTCTGCTTGTCCTTTCCTATACTTGACACATCATCAGACGGACGAGTTCCCTTTGTTCTCAGATGGATATGTGAATCAGACAATCACTGGCAGAAACGTTGTCACATACGTGGCCTGCAATAGAAAACGCGAAAGTCGTATGGTATTAGCAACGGGGCAACGGGTGCAGCGGCAGTAGGAGCGCTCCCCTTCGATTTGATGTTGGAAATTACCAGGGAACAATAGTGTGTCTTTCTCCTTCGAATAACATAAATAGCACCATCGGTTCCAGTTGTAGGTTAACTTCTGGGCCACTCAATAGCATGAATAATACCTGTGTCTGTCAAAAAGAGAAATGAAGCAGGAGAAAAAAAGGAGAACAAAGTTGAACGATATTAGGAAGAAATTATCCACTGTCACCTGACGAATTCAGTGCGTGGGATATAAGGAAACGCGCCAGCAAAAGTTGTTGCACTCTGATACACGCAACCGATGTCAGATTGCTCGGCAAGAAAAAATCACAAGGTTCTGTAAATACTTTGCTAACGAGTGTTCTGTTCCTTTTAAATACAGGTTCATCTTAATTACGCCTTGTCGTTATCTTTTGAAATACAATATATTGTACAATTATAATGTGCCATAAATAGCAGGTTAAAAACGGAGTCTCGGGAACTCAGATACCCCGATCTAACTGACCATCTCATCGTCAGCAGGAATCCTCGTTTGTTACCTCACGATGACACCGCTGTGTTGCAAATGTCTACTCGTCGATGTTCTCTTTGGGTGAATACGTAGAGGCTCAAATTTCCAACTTCGACAAGTTATATTTCAGTGGATGAAACTAACTTAATTGAGACCACCACCACCACCACTGTTGGAATCCTCTACTTTAGAGCAATATTTCAGCGGTAATCTAGGCCAAAACAAAAAACGTGTTAACAAAAGAAAAACTTGATTTTAAAGATCGCGTAAGTACGATAAGCTTTTCCGTTGAGTGGCGGGTAGTATGTTTTCCATGTACCATAAAGGTAATAGCATAATAAAAGGTTGTAAGCAAAGGATGTAATCGTAGGACGAGGTTAAGAGTCTACAAAGCGGGATTTCAACTGACGGTATTATATGAATCGTGTTTTTTCTCTGAACCGCGTGATGATCGGCACCATAATCGTAGTGGTATCAAACGGTGACATTTTTAAAAATATTGCGCCACGGACCGTGGCTATTTGTGTGATTTTGTTCAAACGCTAACAATAGTGTGGAGTTAGGCTCTGAGAATTGCGGCTAGAGGCTATTCGCTAAGTGTTAATGAATTGTGTGGGAACTAGATCCATTGCGTTAAACAATACTCGCTTATACGCAACGGATCTAGTATATCCTGCTTTTTTCTCCGAGAACTTTTCTAATGTTGTAATAATAATAATAATTATATAATAATATAATCTAATGTTGAATATATAGATCAGCAAATCTAAAATACAACTGCTCAATTATATGAAACATTAACATTTCAAGGATCAACAATGGCTTTACGAGGAAGAGTCGTAATTAGGAACTTTTGCATGTCGGTTTTAAAAAACCCACATTTTCCGAAGTTCAACATCATATTTCCGAGCTAGTATTTCTTTTACTAGGTTTAATAGTTTTTGCGTTCTGCGTTATTACTAGAACGAGGGAGAACATTATTATTATTCTGATTATAGATTATTTCCGATAATATTAAATAGTTCTGTATGAAACGCGACATAGTGAGGTCTAGTTTTTTGATTTTATTGGTATTATTAACTTTTCTACTCCACTGCTGTAGAAGTATAGCGTACGAGAATCTATGAAGCCTCGAAATGCAATTTCGACGTTAGCTTAGGAAATTTTTTTATTGAAAAAGTGTAGAGGTTTAAACAAAATGGCGTGCTACGAGCGTAGCTTCTAACGAGTATGATGAGTCTCTCTCTAACCATATGTTTTGCAATTTCGTCGGTGTGATTCCTGTAGCGTGAGGTCGGGCGTTGTAACGAGAGTGATTCGCCTACGCTTACTTAATACGTAGTCTTTTCATTATCTTCTCCTCTTGTTGACGATACACTTCAGCCGTCGATAAGGCACGCCTTATCAAGTTATAGTGCGTAGCATTTGCACTAGACCACTAGGCGTACCGTAAGCTATTACTCAGCTAATTTAGGGTGATATCCCTCCTGTTCGAACGTATCGACACTAATAAAACCGTCTGCCATTACCATAGAAGATCTATTTTTCATCACAGTCACAATTTTATGCAAGAATGAACCATTATGTTGACGTTAGAGCAAAAAAAATAACCTTCTGTACGTCGCCGTTTTTAATTTCCGCAAAGGTTGTGCGGCACCCGTTTGTCTAACTTTTTTTTTATCTTCTCAATTTGTCAAAAGAAAACAAGCATATCATGTTTACGTACAGTAAAACTGACAAGGGTCTTTGAGACAGCAACTTTGGGATGGGTCGGCTGTCACCACAGGCTTTGTATCTTCGAAGTTTACATTCATAGGGGGTCTTTTAAAGGACCCATTTTTGAGTTCCAGTTCTTTTGGAACCAACACCTCACGGTGTTTCTAGCAGCAGCCTCAGCTAATGCAAGATTTGTCCACGAGCTATTTCTGCCACTATAGTTTCAATAAGGAATTCAAGTTTCAGAGGGTACAGATGTATCTCGAGCACAAAATGTCGCGAACTGTTGTAATTTTGAAATATTAAATTAATGTTTGCAATTTTTCATACTGATATAGGTCATGTCCATGTCTTACTATTGGTGCTCGCTGCAACTTTACAGTGGAGTTTTATCTTATTAATGACATTTTTAGATAGATATAGGCTAAGTGATGGTTGAGGCGGTAGCAATGCTGGTATCAAAAGCGTATTCGAATCTATATATTTGCGTTTTTGTGAATAAGGAAAAATGTTTATTCTTCTTTTTGAGTAAGTATACGCATGGTAAGGAGAGTTCAAGATGAAGGCGACGAGGCACACGTGAAACTTACTTGCTGTTTAGGCCGAGCGCCTACATTTCATGACTTTGACCGTGATGCCGTTATGCGAAACATCGCTAGTAGGACGAATTGAGAAATTCGATCGATACCGACCCAAATGATTCGTACATCTGGCACCTCTCAATTCTTTATTTTTTTTAATGGAGGGAAAATCGAACCATTTTTCAGGTTTACTTTCTCTCTATTAAAGGGCCTAAACAGGAATAAGGAATTTTGAGCATCTGGTTTCATTAGCTATGAAGGTACCGCAGCTATTGCTAAGCGTTCTGCAGAGCAGAAGGCCTGCAGCTTAGAGTTAAGCTGTGTGTTTATCCAATTATTCCAAGTCTTGCGATTATCCGTCGTAATTTCAATACATACGACTCAGGTCAATTAAAAGGGTTTAATATATAAAAAATAACGTACGCGAGATGTCCTTTCGCGGACCCTTTGCATAGGTGGATCCGTTTCACAGAATTCTGAGTCATGGATAGGCATCAATTTCGCCGATTATTTAGCAAATAGCGTGGATTATTTTTAGCCTTAAGCAATACACTGTTTTTCATATACTCTCCAGGAACAAACTGGAGAAATCAAGTCACAAAACCGGGACGGCCGCTCAGTGTGATCGTCGCACATTTAGATCAGCAAAGAACTTACAGATAGGTTATTCTACGCGCGGTGCAGTAGGTCGTTGAAACAAAGGTTGTTAACATCCGTTCGGTTCACAGCAAGGTTTGCATTACCCTTCGTCCTGCACTTTCATGATCATGTAAAGCTGTTGGCGTAGTCACTTAGTTGAAAATGGGCTTCATCGGAGCAGCCAAGGTGACTTGACGTTGGGTAGACCTGGCCTCACTTTATTTACGAGTAAGCCAGTTATTCGTAATCGTAAAGCACTATATTAACAATGTAACTTTTCACCATTACAAAACTGCTGTGTTTGTCGCTCGACAGTGCGTTAGTCCTGGATTGGGCTTCTGGACCACACTTTACCACCTAAATCTGCCTTATCTTCCTGTCGTTGTTCGCAGGGTAAAGTGCTGCACACCCATCCATTTTCTGGCTATATAGACGTAGTCATGAATTTATTCATAGATTCAGATTATAATTGTTCCATTAGATCTCGGTTATGTTAATCCGGCGGTATGTTTTTATCCCGCAGCCAGTATCCTCTAGCGCCCAGTGAGTTTAATTTTATGTCGCCCTGTCTTGACGTCCGCACGATCGGTATGCGCGCGTGTAGGGTAGGATTCCATTACTCCCAAAACCGACTAACGGCTCTTACAACTCCTGCGCTACAAAGCGATTGGAACTGCTTTGTAAGATCCCTTGACGCCTCGCGTCATTCTGATATAAACTCTACTCTCATCTTTTCCTGGCAGCACATTTACAGATCCGTTCTTAACGATGAATAAAAAGCCATATTTCCGAGATTTACTACTCGCAGACTACTAGAGAAACTAGCACACATCGTACCGTGTACGCATACATGTCTTCTAAACGAAATCCATCTGTCCAGAATAGTATGCCATCACATGCCAGACAGTTTTCTTTGCGCTTGAATGGTCCTTAAGATAGTTAAAAACATCAAAGTCTCAATTATCTGAAAGTGTACAGATCGTAATTTTTTTCGGTTGAAACGGTAGAGATTGTTTTGCATGAGTAAGAAACCATATTGCATTACACTGATCGCGTAAAGTCGGTCCCGTTACAGAAGTTAGTAGTGATCGTGACTGATGCTTACCATTTGTCTTCGCTACACTCCTGTCGTTGAGCTGGGTGGTGCCTTTAGGCAGGATCGATGCACAGTTCCCCGAGAGCGCTTCGACTAATAAGCGCCAGGCGTCTTCCGAATACAGTTTAAACTACCTGAACTAACTCAGAATAAGAACTTACCCTTCTGTAGCGAAAGTAATTAATTTCACCTTTCTTCTAATGCTATGTAAAAACTTCAAACTCTCTATATATATA